GGACCAGGGCCTTTCTGAGTGGAGTTTGCATGTTCTCCCCGTGTCTGCGTAGGTTTCCTCCGGGTACTCCGGTTTCCCCTACCACTAAAAATATGTCCAATAGTTCTGGCATGCGCCTCCTGTACTGGCCCCGCTCCCATCTCTGTGTGGAGTGAGAGATAAATGCCCATAATTAACAATTGTAAACCGCTTTGAGACTCTGATCTGCAGTGAAAAGGCGGTATATAAATAAAAACGTACGTACGTATAGGACACATCTGCAGAGGATCTGATTATGGATATAGGTTCAGTATATACATAAGTTCCTCAGCGCGGATGTTCAGAATTCTTTGTTCAGTTTTCATGTAGTTCCAGAGCCTAATAGAGGCTTGATTCGGAGGCTCCGCGAAAACAAACAACTTAGCATGCGCGCAGCTGCGAGCATCAGCGCCAATGGTTGACAGCCCTTGGCATGACTCGATTGGTTAACCTCGACGGCATCGTGGATTCTGAACTATAGCTAAGAGAAGGGAAGGCGGGACTTGCCCGTTTTATTAGAATTAATAAAATGACTTATTTTATATCAACATTTAAGGCCAGGAGGTCAATTTAACACATTTCCTAAAATTTGTAATTCATTTAGAGTTACAGACTTTCTTTATCTTTATTTATATACCGCCTTTTCACTGCACATCGGAGTCTCAAAGCAGTTTACAATTGTTATTTTTTGGGAGTGGGAGGGGCCAGTACAGGAGGCACATGCCAGACCTATTGTACATATTTTTAGTGGTAGGGGAAACCGGAGCACCCGGAGGAAACCTACGCAGACACGGGGAGAACATGCAAACTCCACTCAGAAAGGCCCTGGTCCAACCGGGATTTGAACCCAGGACCTTCTTGCTGAGAGGCGAGAGTGCTATCCACTCAGCCACCGTGCCGCCGGTCTATCAGACTATCACTTTAAGGAATGCACCGATCCTGCTTTTTCAGCTCAGAGTATGTACAACATGAGGACACAGCATGATTTCAACCCAACACCACACCCTCAGCCTGCAGATGTCAACAATAATTAGTTGATCACTTTTCCCCTTAACTCTGAGGGATACCTAACTTTCAAACCACAAAATAAATGGAACTATGTAATCAAATACATAACTAGTTCCTTCTTCTCAAAAATGTCATTTCATTACAATTTTCTTTAAGTGTGTCATCTTTAGATCAGCTTTTTCAGACAGAAAAGTAAGAAAGAGATTTGATTTGTTCACAAAATGTTACCAAGACCACATGTAAAAGTAGGTACCCCAGCTCTAAAACTGTCTGCATCATCAATCTCCACTCAGGAATCCATGGTCCAAACCACAGTTGCATGAGCAGATGACGGCGTGTGTGGGGAATATGGACTTAAGTGTTGCACTCTTAAACACATACTCATTGACTCGGGCCAGCTCTCTCCTCCTGCTCGCCTGCCGGTTGACATCCTCACTATTAACCACTACTACAACTACTACTATTGCATTGGCTTCGTAAACCCCCATCAATTTGAGTAGTGCCCCCTGTTGCACTTTTGGTCAATGAGCCCCCCCACTCGCCTCTCTGTGGTCATTGAGCGGAGGCCCGTCATCAGCTCTTCCTCGGACCCTTCAGAGTATAGCGTCTCCCCTTTCTCAGAGGGTCCGCGGGGTCTTTGTCTGTGCACTGGCTCACTGCTTTACAATGACTCTCCACTCTATTAAGGTGCGTTCTGCCTGTTAGTGTCGCTAGGGGCAACTGGCCTCCCGCATGGCAGCTATGCGGAGCGGTATTGTCGGCCCGCGGGCTCGAGCAGAGCAGTTGAACCCCCGGCACTCCTCACACTTGACACCGCATGTGTTTATCTAAAGGGGGGCTTTATGGTGTTTGGAGAAGCTCGAAGAAGAAGAAGTAGTAGTAGGAGGAGGGGTGTAAAAAGACGTAAAATTGGGGGAGGGTGGTAGTGGGGTTGTGATAGCGATAAATATTCAACAGCACCTCAGAAGGAGTTAGTGCTCACCATAGTCTCCTCCTTCCTCTTTGCCCTCTCCATGCCAGAAAACAGATGGAATGTGAGCGCACTGGGAGGAGGCTCCAGTCTGGTTTTATCCAATTAGCAAGGTTGTCAAAATGAATTTATCCACGGAGGCACCACTACAATGGAACCGGCAGTGGCCCGAGAGATATGGGGGCCCTGGTGTCTTTACTTTACATGCTCACAATGAACTTCTGTCAAGTGACTCCACCACATCCACAAGGCTCCCAAATACCTACAGTCATAAAATGCCTGCACATTTGAGTCTGTGGTCTACTAATGTTTATAATGTTTGTTTCCAAAACAGTTTTCCAGTCTATCCCAAATTCATTAGTATTAATACTGTTTATGTGATCTCCATAGCAGAAAATACCATTCTCTCGCAGCACATGTTTTCACCAAGGAGGGCTTGGTTCTCATTGCTTAGACCCATGCACATTCCTGGTTTATAATTTAGAGGAGCTGTCTGCCAGGATAGCTCTGTTTTTTATCAGTCTCTCTTGTGCGTAGGCGCTTCTTCTTCTGTCTGTGACCTTTGTGAGAAGGATGGATGGAAACAGATAGATGGCAGTGCAGCGTTTTTATCTTGATGCAGAGCATCCGCTAAGAAAACACAGCTGAGCAATGAATCAGAAAGATGGGCTCTGAAGAGTGGGCTGTTTTTAGGCATCAATGATGACGGCCTTGTGTGCCTGTAAACTAAAAATACACTTTGTTGGCTTAATTCAGAACACAAATATTACCTAAACTGGGTCTTCTGGAAGTAGCTTGTCCTGCAACTGGCACAGAGAATGATGTGATTTACGATACATGAGGCAGGTGTTTAATACAGCTGTATGGGCTCTGATGAGCAGTTGTCAAGAGCTGTGTCTATAAAACAAGTTGCCACAGAAGCCACAGGCCCTCAGCGATGTGTACGCTGATCCCACTGTAGCCCTTCTTATTTATTTACAAAAGCAGTCCTTTATTAATGCAGCACTTCTGTAGATCTGGTCCACCGGTATGTGTGGTAGAAGTTATGAGTCATTAGTCTCTCAAAGACAAACAATATGTGCAGGTGGTCAGTTGGCAGTGCTCTGGTTGATAATAGACAGTGTCTGCGTTATGCGTCACGGCTGAGAAAGACTCATTTACAGATGTTTACTCATTAGTTACATGCAGTTAATTTCATTCAGTGCTGCAGTGTTTTTCTGTTTGTGGCACTTGGCTGAGTGGATTCCAGTTTTCCACTATTCTGGTGGTTTGCTCATTTTAATTGTACTTGTCGAGGAGTCAGATTTACTCAGGTCATTGGAAGATAAAGATACAATGTCAGAGTTTCCATTCATTTATGTTTTTATGTATTATCATAATAGTAGTCAATGAAAGTCAATTGATCCCCTGTTCAAAGTTCTATCATTGATTCTCTGCTAGGTTTTCTGATGCCTGGCCTAAAGTCTGAGTATTTAGCATCATTATTAGTATGTTTTATTATTAGATAAATTGGAATACTTTCTTGAGTAAAAAACCCAGTTATATGTTTATTTCCTGTGTATGAATACTGGTCTCATGTACTCCAGATAGTTATGTGAATGTTTACATGTTAGTTGGAGCTGTTGAGAGCTCGTTCTCTGCCATATTGTTCTGATGCTTGTATGTGTATTATTGAGGCAAAAGGAAAAAGGAGAATCAGTTTTGTGGGACCACCCTTCTCATCCTGACGGGAAGCTGTTAGTTTAACCTGACAGGAAAGAATTCAGGAAACCTGGCAGTGACAAGGGAGCAAGGAAAAGAACCCCATTCTGCATTAACTGTTGACGAACCCACCATCAGCACTTCTCCATGTTGTCTCTGCAACATACTGAAGCCCGATAGTAGTGTTTTTTCTCTGCTGTGATATGTCATTGGGCCCCACTCCAAGGCCTACCTTGTCTATTAGTTGCTCTTTGTCCTCTGTATTGAATGCAGCCTGTGTGCTTTCACCTCTCCCCCTCTCGTCTCCTGGCAGACCCTCTACCTGTATCGGTTACACCTGAGTGAAAGGTCCAGGGTTTGAGTTACCTCCAACAGAGTGAGGGTGTCCCTTTGATAAGCTGCTGTGGGTGCAGGGCTGGGATGGGGGCTGACGGAGAAGAAAGGCTTTATTTGTGTGGAATATTTCTCTTGTGTGCAGCCGTGCATGGTCACATTTTCCTTAAAGTCAAATGGACACAGCTTTAATAACTAAGTCTCATGTCTACAACCCACGTGTTTTATATAAGTTAGGGGTACCTGACGATACGATACGATACACGATACAAAGCTCACGATAACAATAATATCACGATAACGATATTACGATAACGATTTTATCACGATATGGCGATTATTGGTCAGAAATATACAATATGCCAATTTATGGCATAAATAAAAGAAAAAATACTCTTTATTTCATGATAAATAGAATGGAGATGCGTAATGTAGCCATATATTAAGTATTGATACCAATTTCAAAAAAAAATGTAAAAAAAATATATATATATATTTTTTTTTTCAAAATCTATATTGATATTTGGCAAATGCATATCGATAATCGAATCGCGGGAGAAAGTATCACCCCTAATATAAGTGTTGCTTAATTTCCTCGCCCCAGTTGCGTACTTTAGAGTGTTGTTTTTGAAAAGATAAAAAATGAAATCATCACAAAATAAGCGACTTCCTTGTTGTCTCAAGAGGGAATAAAGAAAGCTTTGAAATATTATAGGATGACTGAAATTCCAAATATATTTCAGTCAGTTTATGAGAACCGCTCTAAAATTTCAGAGACCAGTTTTTCAAATTTAACTAGTAAAGTTAACTATTAGCTAGCTAGGTCTTCATATTCTAAAAAATCTATACAGATGTTTTAATGACTGTTCAACTTTTGCACTTGGTCATCAGGTCGTCTCATAATCACTGCGTCTTTTTGCAGAGACGCAGTGCATGGAAGATGCCACGAAGGCGAGGTTGGACTCCGTGGATGAGAAAGAAAAAGACCTCAGTGTTGTGTGTTCTGGGCGCTGTGCTTCTGTGCTGCCTGCAGAACACAACATCTCTTCCTGGTATGTTGTCCTGTAACTCTTATTATTTGATAAAACATTTATTACATGATTATACACTTAGTTGTTTTTGTTATGCATTGATTCTTATTCATATAATGGTAATTGTTTTTGCAGATGAGGTGCCGGTGTTCACGGAGGAGCCCATGTCCGTGGTGCAGAAGTTGGGGGGAAGCGTGAGCCTGCGCTGCAGTGTGCGACCCACCTCTGCCAACATCAGCTGGAGGTTGAACGGTGCGGAGGTGGTGCAGGGCGATTTGGGGGTGGTACTGGGACCCAGCAGCCTCTTCATCCCGACACTCACTAACACAACTCTGGGCCGATATCAGTGTGTGGCCAGAACTGCTGCTGGAGCTCTGGCCAGTGTCCCTGCAAACGTCACCGCTGCCAGTGAGTAGCCGCCCCCACAAAGACATCACAAATAAACACTTACACTGAGCTCACTTTGTCAGAGCATCAATGACTTAATGCTGCAAGACTAAAACAGAGTCCACTGGTATTTATTTGCTTAAATCTGGGCAAATACAAAGATACAAACACTGTAATTTTCCACTGCCTCTCGGTCATTGCCAGTCTCACAGGTTTTATCAGTTTTGGTGGATGGTCTATAATAACTGCCTTGAAAATATCCTGCACACTTTGACCCAAACAGCTGTGTACATACAAAATGACACAGCTTTGAAGTTAAGAGTGAATTAACACTGAAGTTAAGAGTGAATTATTAGTTTTCCAATGTCACATCTTTAGAGCTGTGCAGTTTGAGTGTGTGGTTTTACATTTGATATGCATCATGGGACAGAGAAGGGGCCTAAAGTTGTGTAACCTGAGCCACAGGAATGGAGGTAGACCCAGGGGCCACAGCCGGTCAGAGATGGGACACAGGCTTAGGCTGGGACCCCTGCTATATGTCTCTACTCCCAACAGCTCCACATTCCTGTCTACAGGGCTTGGAGCATCACAAATCATTGACTTGTAATTGAGTTATAAGTTGTTGAATACAAAGATAAGACAAAAGCTGACTTTCTATAGTGTGATGTTAGTTCTTTATTATTGTATCTGGAGAATATGTTGCGTAGACACAAAAGTATGTGATAATCTTTAGCTAGGTCTGCTCCACCTCCCTCTTGAAATTCTTTTATTTAATAATGGCCTTATATTGGCCACCCTCAGACTGCCTCAGGAATCGCTCCATAAAGACTTCCCATGTGAACATACTTGTGCACAAGCGTTTTGTGACCAGGAGTTGGTTCAAAAAAACCAAATCAAAAAAAGCTTCTGTCGCTCTTGTTTCCAGCAGACAATGTGAATACACAGCATATTGGAAACACATTTTATAACTCAGAATCACATGTACAGACCTCCTGCTGTAACACATAAGGATGATGAATGCGCTGTCTCTCTTTCGAAATATTTAGCTCCGCTTTGCCAAGAAGTCCTGGTGCGGGAGGTCTGCTTCAATTTATGAATACCATCTATCCTGCATCCTGCTGCTGGCAAAGAAGCTACACAGCACACACACCTGAGAGGCATCATTTGCAGTTTGAGCTGCTGAGAATGTGGGCAGGTTTAAAGGTGCAACTGATGGAATGCACTTGGAGGTAGTTTGTAGAGATGTGGGGGTAGCAATGGTCATGGGCTGGTTGTAAAAACAGCCCCTGATTGATTTAGCAAATGGAGCGCCACACGACAACTCTTCCATTGCATACTCACAGCACTTAGTCTGACATGTCCTGACTGGGAATCTCATTTTTCAGAATAAGAGCTCAAATAGTCAAAGATGTTTGTGTGTAAATGCAGTATTCCCCAGACTCAGAGGATGGTGGATGACTTAAATGAGGCCTCCTGCTGTGATGGTGTTTGCTTTGAGTAAATCACAGTGACGTCCATATCTACATATAGTTCAGCCTTATCTAAACTTTTCTTATTCAATTTGAGCTGTTTGCCAAGTCCCAGCAGCTGTCTATGTTTGTTAATAATGAATCAACAGAGACTTGTAGACATCTAACTACATTCTTTGAGAAGTTTTGCTTGTTTTTAATTTTGCTCGTCAAGTCTGTTGCTATTTTCAGCTTTCCTTCCAAAGTTGCCTCATTGTATTTTTCTTATGATTTCCGTATTTAAAATGGCGCCCTGCAGAACCCCCTGCTGAGCTTTCTCTTCCTGAAAGCATAGTGTAGTAATTTCTCCCAAACCAAACTGGATATGTGTGTGTGAAACTCTATAGGACAGAGGCCTCCCACCTCTGACCCTGTGGCCAGGCCTGGGGCTGCTGTGGCAGGGGTTTTAGGAGGGCAAAGGGCACCTCCGTCTGTGCGGAGTAGACTGCGTGTCTGCTGCTACAGCCCAGTAATCCCTCTCCACGTTTCCCACAACATCTGAACAACGTTTGGCCCGATTAATGATACTTGCTTCAATGTTACAGACACCACTTTAGGCTTGCTCTATTCCACCCTGGTGTAATCATAACATGATTGAAAATCATAAAGAACGATGTTCAAACATATGTTTTAGTAATGTAATCTATGATAGTTCAATTTTATAATAAAAAAGAGATATTATTATATAAACTAGCTCTCAGCTTTAGAATAAAAGGGTGATTAAAAAAAGTACATGTGAAATGTGGTTTCTCTCCCTGAAAGAATGTTTTAGTTGATTGTTTGATTTTTACATACATATTTTGCATTATTACACGATTACACTGTTACAAAGTAGCTCAAAAGGAGTAGGCTGAAGCAAGAAAGCTTATTAGTGCCAAACACTGCCTAATAATTAGTGCCTAATGTTTACTACAGTTTGTATTGAGGACAGAAGGGCCACTGTCCTCACCTGTTTCTTTGTTTTTAGAGCTGCGAGACTTTGAGCCTGATGACCAGCAGGAGATCGAGGTGGACGAAGGCAATACGGCGGTCATTGAATGTCATGTTCCTGAAAGCCAGCCCAAAGCTCAGGTCCGCTACAGCGTCAAACAGGAATGGCTGGAGACTTCAAAAGGTAATTAACAAACATCCCTCATTTATCATTTGAAATTTATCATTTTCTACCCCCTCCATTTCTGGGTTGAGGGTCATTTATCATGATCTGCCCAAATGTCTCCGTTCCACATTCCTCTGTTTTCACAAAATGTCTTTATAATTTACGGAAAGGCTATAATTCTGGTATTTATACCAGTATAATGCCAGTGATAAGAACACAATCTTGAAAAGGTTAAGACATTATCAGTGTTTCCCACAGGTTTGAAGGCAATGTGTGTGGGGGGGGGGGGGGGGGGGGGTGGGGTACAGTGGTAGAGGACAATCTTGAGGTCATGAATCCAGTGAAATTAGTCGCACACCTTTTTACAGTAATAAGTTACAGCAGATCAAAAGTGACATGTTTTGACTATTTTTGGAGGTATTTTGGACCAAAATGGCTTTTACCTCAATATTTCTCAATATTTCTACAGTAAAAGTGTCTGGTCTTTGGTACAGTGGTAGAAGGCAATGTTGAGGTCATGAATCCAGTGAAATTAGTCGCACACCTTTTTACAGTAATAAGTTACAGCAGATCAAAAGTTACATGTTTTGACTATTTTGGAGGTATTTTGGACCAAAATGGCTACTTTACCTCAATATTTCTCAATATTTCTACAGTAAAAGTGTCTGGTCTTTGGTACAGTGGTAGAAGGCAATGTTGAGGTCATGAATCCAGTGAAATCAGTTGCACACCTTTTTACAGTGAAAAGTTACAGTAGATCAAATGTGACATGTTTTGACCATTTTTAGGCTATTTTGGACCAAAATGGCTACTTTAAATCAATATTTCTCAATATTTCTACAGTAAAAGTGTCTGTCCTCTACCACTGTACCAAAGACCAATCTTGAGGTCATGAATCCAGTGAAATTAGTCGCACACCTTTTTACAGTAAAAAGTTACAGTAGATCAAAAGTGACATGTTTTGACTATTTTGGAGGTATTTTGGACCAAAATGGCTACTTTACCTCAATATTTCTCAATATTTCTACAGTAAAAGTTTCTGGTCTTTGGTACAGTGGCAGAGGGCAATAATAAGGTCATGAGTCAAGTGAAATTAGTCGCACACCTTATTCCAGTAAATAGTTACAATACTTGAAAATTGCACTAGCGGACCAAATTGTGTACTTTATACATGTAAACAATAGAGTGGCTATCCTCCTGAGGACTCACAATCTGCAGGAGGAATCGTAGGGGGCTGGTGCTATGTGTGCCGGGTGGCATCTCTATAAGGTTTTAATCACAAAAACGTGTCTCCCTGACCCCAGCGCGCTTTCTGTTCGATAAAAATGGGTGACTCCGAAAGGACGTTCCGCTGTTACCGTAAGTTCTCAACAAAACGCGCACCGTCTTTTCCCCGATGCGGGCCGCTTGTTCATAGAGCTGAAAGATGCGGGCCACTTTACCGCGGTAAATTAATAGACACAGCTGCTTACAGCGATGATCGCTGATGGAGACGGAGACACGCGGTGTGCACGAAGGGGAGGGGCTGTGTGTGTGTAGGTCTCTGTATGTGGGAGAGACGCGTAGCTTGAGTGAGAGTTACGAAGGGCCGCCACATTTTAAACCCCCCTCCCCGCTGTCAAATTGACCGCTGCGGCGGCACTAGACGATGCATGTTTTAAATAGCGTAACAAAAAAAATATATATATAATAATACGAAACGCAATTTGTGGCGGGCGGTCTCTAATCTGTGGCGGTGCGCCACAGATTAGTCTATGTGTGGGAAACACTGGACATTGGAATTTGGTTGTTTATTTTTGAAACAATTTAATTGCAAGCTGCCAGGAAGAGGAGAAAAGCTCCTATGTTTTTGTCTGATGTGCAGACAATGGAAGTATAGGTATTTCAGAGGAAATGAACACTGACTGGATCCTGGCTGAATCTACTTTATAGTGCCTTACAGTGGGCATCAAGTGGAGTATGTAAATATTGAATAAACAAGTTTTTATCAGGTCTGTATCTTGTATCTTGCAGGCAACTACCTCATTATGCCTTCAGGAAATCTTCAAATAGCCAACGCCACACTGGAGGACGAGGGGCCATACAAATGTGCTGCTTACAATCCCATCACTCAGGAGGTCAAAACGTCTACTTCTGCTGACCGCCTGCGCATACAACGTGAGTATAAAGTGTTGTAACATTCATAATCTGTAAAACAAAAACTGTAAACGGTAATACGGATTTGTTTTTGTTTGTTACTGATTTTGTTTCAAGATTTACTAGTATATTATAATGACTGTGACACTTTGACCATAGGCTCAACATCAGAAGCTGCTCGCATTATTTATCCTCCGGACTCTCGCTCCATCATGGTGACCAAAGGCCAGCGCCTGGTGTTGGAGTGTGTGGCCAGTGGGATCCCCACTCCGCAGGTCACATGGGCCAAAGACGGACTGGACCTGCGCTCACACAACAACACCCGCTTCCTCCTCAGTAACCTCCTGATCGATGCGGTCAGCGAGGAGGACTCCGGAACCTACCTTTGCAGAGCAGACAATGGCATTGGCTCCAAAGCCCTGGCCACAGTGCTCTACGATGTACAAGTGTTCGGTAAGAGCAGATGTATGATTGTACTTCATATATTTGAAGTATTATACTGCAGTACTGTACAACGTAGCACAGTGTTAAACCACTTGCCGAAAAGAACATTGTGGTAATCATGGTTATTGGCTTAATTAGATGTGTTCCTCCTGAGAGCTCATTTATGAATGGCCACTGTTGTATTCGAAGGTACTTTGATAGACAAAGCTCCTTTTACTGCAGGACTGAATATGTCTAAGTTATAGATGACTGTTTTTACAGTGACTTTGAGTGTGGGTGTGTGTGTGAAAGAGAGGGTGGGTGTGTTGTGGGCTTGTCTCTTACTGCAGCTGGCTCTAATTAAAGCTGGAGAGCTGCTGGAGCTGTAATGAGCTCTGTCTTTCCTGATTCACAAGCAGCCAACCATCAACTCCCTGCTCTGGCCTCGCCTGGCTGCCTTTGCACAGAGACACACTGATACACACTTAACACTGTTTAAGTGGAACCAAATCATCTGCACGCAACTCCACAAATGAAATAGTTTAAATAATTTATGAACAGAAAATTACAAACACAAAACAATCAGGGCTTGTGGCTATTTGAAATAATTTCTCAGTCGCTTCTGGTAATGTTTATAGATCCAATTTAGAGCTTTGTCCTACTGTATCATAGTAAATGTGTTTGTAGTGAGGACAGAATGATTCTGTTTCAGTGACATAACTGCTGTGTACATTGCACAATTACACACCTCTTATGGCTGTGACTGTTTAATTATGTTACTGTATGTATTGTTTATGTGGTTAATTATTCAGTTTGTCATGATTTCTAAACATTGTTCCTGTGTTGTGCCCACAGAGCCTCCTCAGGTGGTCGTGGAGCTGCAGCAACAGGAGGCTGTGTTTGGGGAGGTTGTGCGCATCACGTGTCAGGCTCGGGGGAAACCAGCTCCTTCTGTGATGTGGCTCCATAACGCTGAGCCGCTCTCTCAATCACCCCGCCATCGCCTGTCCAATCGGGGGCTTCGCATCTCCAACGTGGGACCCCAGGACACTGGCATTTACCAGTGCATGGCAGAGAATGGTGTGGGCAGTGCACAGGCATCGGCTCGGCTTATCACTGTATCCACAGGTATGACTGCTTTTTAGATTTATGTTCTGATCCCTGCTATATTTACCACTCGCACCAAGTAAGACTAGGAGCAATAAAGGAGAGGGATTTACGTACACCTTGTAAGAAATAACCTGTGAGATGTTAGAAAAGTATTTGGACATGCTCTCACCTGTGATAATCCATAGATGGGCAGACTGTTTAATCATTGTTGTCCACTTTTTCAAAGTGAATGTAAAAACTAGGGCCATGCACAGAGCTCGAGTTGGTGCATCAGTATAATCGGTCCGTCTGAAACTCATCCAGTGACGAAGGTTCCGTGGTGCATAAACACATATACGATTAAAATGCTTGTAAACTGGTTGTAAACTGCCCAGGGCCAGACTTACAAGAGCGAGGCTATGTGCCATCAGACCACCACCTATCAGTCACTCACTAACCACACTTATACTAGGCAATGTGGGATATCGGTATGTAGCCCTTCATAAATAAAGATTACTTACTAACCGAATGACAATTTTGCATTTAACAGCTTCAAAATATGCAGCAAACAAATGTAATAGTTTAGAGGCCTGCTTATCATAAAGAAAGACTGATTAATGTAAAATGCAAGGAATTAAATGAAATATGGGTTTCACAGTCAATTGTAAACAATCTAATATCGTTATATCTTTACGCACAAGATGTTTACTTGTACACAGCGTTGTAATCATCTACAACTATTTATTGTTTGTATCTCTTGTTCTAGGGCCTTCTTCCAGGGCTAAACTGCCGTCCATGTACAGGCCCCTGAGCCCAGATAAAGTGTTGAGGGAGCAGCCGCCCATCAGAGCAGGCAGCTCCGGAGCCACACTGCCCCTGGACTGCTCTGAGCTGCCTGGACAGGTCACTCCAGCGGATGCTCCCATTATCCTGAGCCAGCCTCGCACTGGCAAAGCAGACTACTATGAGCTCACGTGGAGACCACGTCATGAGCGCGGCGCCCCGGTGATGGAATACATGGTCAAATACAGGAAAGTGGGCGTGCCCCTGGGGGAGTGGACGTCCACCAGCATCTCAGGCGCTCTCCATAAACTGACTCTAGCCAAACTGCAGCCAGACAGTTTGTATGAGGTTGAAATGACAGCAAAAAACTGTGCTGGTCTGGGTCAACCTGCCATGATGACTTTCAGAACTGGAAAAGGTTATTATTTATTGTTAAAAATAATTTACTGTTGGTGATCTTTTAGTGACCTTTTCAGTCATTATTTATGCAAATGTTTGTTTGTTCAGGTCGGAAAGGCATAGGAAGCCATATTGATCCTCCCAAAACCCCAGCAGTTCCTTCGCCAAGCCTTTCTCGTAAGCAAACTTCAAAACCAACCCTTCTGTACAACTTCACTAACCCCAAAATAACCTTAAGTAGATGTTTTTCTGTCACATACATTGGCTTCTAACACTTCTTTTGACTAACATGTTATTTTCCCTATCGTCTCTATTGTTACTGAAGGATGATCTTTCCGTAAGTGCACTATATAAAGCGGATTACGGTAACAGTTGTCTCTGTCCGCTAAGTGATACCTTGATATCAAACCCACAGCTCCTGAGGCTCCAGACAAGCCCACAGTGTCCACGGCTACAGAGACGTCGGCCTATGTCACTTGGATTCCGCGTGGCAACCGTGGCTTCCCCATCCAGTCGTTTCGCGTGGAGTACAAGAAAGTGAGGAAGGCCGGAGAAGACTGGGTCACAGCGGTGGAAAACATCCCTCCATCGCGACTCTCTGTGGAGATTACCGGTCTGGAGAAAGGTCAGTGGCCAATCTTATCCTTGTATCAGTTCCCAGCAGTTTTAGCTCTTTTGAATGAGTTGGGGTGAAGAGTCAAGTAGCGTGCAATTACACCATAAATCTGCTGCTTTTTACATCGCCATTGGCCATAAATTAATCTACAAAATGAATGTTGTTGCAGTAGTTTTATTTAATTGCTGACATCAATCTAAAGCCATAACTCGCAATCAGCCATGCATTTCTTTTAATCAGAAGGCAAACACTGCCAGCCAAACTACAATGCAATAACTCTTCATTTTGTATTAAAATGTTTTTGATAATAACGATTGTGTGTCTGTATTCAGGGACGTCCTACAAGTTTCGAGTCGTGGCTGTGAATGTGATCGGCTCCAGCCCACCCAGCGCCCCGTCCAAAGCCTACACAGTGGTTGGCGGAAGAACTCACGAGCGGCCTGTTGTGGGACCTTACATCACTTACAATGAAGCCATCAATGAGACCACGATCATCCTCAAATGGACTGTAAGCCACAGACAAAAACAATACAATCACTTACTTTCCGAGCGCGGCGCCTTTTTATTACAGCGTGTGATTTATGATTTATGCTCCTCTGCAGTACACGCCCGTAAACAACACGCCCATATATGGTTTCTACATCCACTACCGGCCGACGGACAGCGACAACGACAGCGACTACAAGAAGGACGTGGTGGAGGGGGATAGATACTGGCACTCCATCACAGACCTCCAGCCCGAAACCTCATACGACATCAAAATGCAGAGTTTCAATGAGAAAGGGGAAAGCGAATTTGGAAATGTGGTCATTATGGAAACAAAAGGTGAGCGTTTCATTGATTTTTGGAATGGCAAGTGCTTATTTGTTTAGCACAGTAAATAAAAAAGGAAGCCAGAGCAGAGAGATTAGGAGATCCTTTATTTGTCCCACAGTGGGGAGATTACACAACAGTTGAAATGAGTACCACACAGGACAAGATAAATGAACAATCGCTCTATACTAAATAAAATATCTGCATCTCTCTAACTAATGGGGTAGGAGATTATAAGATATTTTTTTCTTCATTCTCCTCCTGCTCTTTTTTTTTCATGGGATGTATTACTTTTGTACTTGCTGGATGGTTGAGGTATTTTGTTGCATTACCATTAAAACATTTTGAAAAATAAAATGTAGAAAGAAAGAAACTCTAGCATAAAGAAGGACCAAGTATAAAAGCTATATCTTTAGCATATTGAGTACAAAAACTCTGACTTATAATAAAGAAGTATTAAATCTCTACTGGACAAATGTGATCGTACTTCCTGGTTCTAGTCAGGACTTGAACTGCAGCTTTTTTAATTGATCTGTGAAGCTTATGAACTCCCTTGAACACATTTTCTTCTCCTTTAGCAGCTACTCAAAATGCCCCAAGTACTACTCCTTCAGACTATCCGTTTCATCCAGAGAGGTATCCTAATGTGCCACGACCTGGCGACTTACCGTATCTCACCTTAGTCTTCATCGTCCTGGGCGCCTTTGTTTTCATCATTGTGGCATTCATTCCCTTCTGCCTTTGGAGGGCGTGGGCCAAGCAGAGTAAGTCTCAGCTTTTTGAAGTATTCTTAGCTAATGTTGTTGTGCTAGTGTTGACATTTCTGCGTTCCTTCCAGAGCAAACTGCAGACCCTAACTTTCCGGCTCTGGCCACTCCCGTGTCGGCGTGTCAGTACACCATGGTCCCACTTCATGGCCTGGCGCTGATGGGACAGTGCCCGATGGACGGTCACATGGCTGCCCCCCGCGTGGTTTACCCTGCAAATGGAGAATACACGGCGAACGGCAAACCTCACCCAGCGACACGGCGTCTACCGGGAGTGCAGCAGGTAAGGATGGCGCCCTGATCATGTTTTACTAACTGCTATCCTGTATTTAAGTGTTCTAATGTTGGATGTGTTCAAGGAGGACATGGAGAGTGAGGAAGAGGATGAGACTCTATCACCACAGTCTGTTCCGAATGGTCATCTGCCGGTCTATCACTGCTCTACAAAGTGCGTTCAGCTTAGTCTGTGTTCTATCGCGTGTTCTGCTCTGGGACATATTTCTCTAACATTCTTTTCCTTCAGCAGCTCTCATCCACAACACTGCTGCCCTTCATACAACTCTGCGTTCCTGCTCCTCGACCCGTCACATCAGGCTGTCACCGCGCTGCAGACAGACAATGATGGGACTTTTTGTGAGGACCCTCCTGAAGATGACCTCAGTAAAAGTAAGTGATCATGAGTTCATGTGAATCACATGAAAACGACTTTATATCTGATTGTTTTACTTTGGTTTTTGTCAGGTACAACGTCCCTCCCTTTATTATCTCTAGAAGATGAAGGCGTCTTCACGACAGCGTCATCTGAAGCAACAACTCCTCAGTCCCAGGACACGAGTGTAAAGGACATGAGCCTCCTCCCAGACGAGGTGTCGCCTGACGATGAAGGGACGTCCAGTGCAACAGATGCATAAAAGACTCTTAAAAAAATAGATCAGAAAATATTTATTTTTGTATTGCAGATATTTATATATTTATTATTTTATACATAAATGTTACATATGTTGTATATATGGATATTTTCATATTGAAAAATGTTTATTCATACAGCCTACTCTGAATGGATTTAGGGAGCACAATGTTTCAGAAGAACCGTATTCTTGCAGAGTAAAAGTCCTTGTGCTGTGAAGATCTGAAATCCTCTGCATTCTGTGAGCACTTGTTTTTACACGCTTCTTGTCCCATTCCTGTTTGGTTTTGAGTAACTAGCTTTATGTACATCACACCTGGTCAATTTTTGTTGTTGCAGTGTGCCCTCAGACGAGTCATCATTTTAGCATGTCAGCCATTTTTGTAGTGACAATGAAAGCCAATATACATTGCTCATTAAGACTTTTAACCAACATACATCCTTTTCATAGTGATATAAATGAATATAATTTGTATAGCTAATTATCTTCTGCTTCAATTCACTGAATGGGAGAGATTCTGGAAATGTTTCACTCAGTCAATGATAAGCTCAACATTTCACTTCACTCATGGGCTGGTTACCAAAAGACTGCCAGGTGGGGGCGCTGTGACTGCTACATGAGTTTTGATTATATTCCCCTACAAGTATTAAGTCTTATTAGAGACATCTGCAGTGAATATGAAGGAGATCTGGAATCTACACCCTCTGAGCTGGCACACTCACTGCATGTAAATAAAAAACATCTGAAAGTGACGTTCTCATTTTATTGTAATCAGCATAATTACACTTGATGAGAAGGGAGTTAAATAGTGTGGTATGCCACAATTGTCTGTACTTGAGGATTGATCTGATTAATTATAATGGTCAACAATGTTTTTTAGAGTGTTGGTTCAGTTCTGAAGGAAATATAGTTTAGCTGCTAGCAAACATACCTTTCTTCCATCACAGAAAAAAAAAAACATTAATTAAACTTGTTTACCTGCAATGGTGGCCTTCAATTCTCCTTAATCAGCATAAGCATCTGCTTATAATGTGGGAGCTAAATTCAATGTCTTGGGAATTAAACTTTGTAGATGTTCTGATGTCTTGAAAATAATGTTGATCAGCAGTGCCCTCTACTGGTCTAAAAGAAGTACTAAAAAGACAGCTTGTAGAAAGTGAAACGTTTCATTATAAACTTTAATTTGTATTTACAAATACATAAAATCTAGCATTTTTTTCATATGAAACATTTGTATTTACAAAATAGTTCAGACAAAAATCTGATTCTATACAGTAATGTGGGATAAGTTAGTAATTTACAGTTAATGTACATTTTTTGTAACCGATAAAAAAAACTCAAGATGGTCATACTGATTAGCAATGCAATAAGAAATAAGTAGCTATCACATGTTAAAGTCTCAGTTATAAATTAGTGGCTCATTCATCTGTTATTGAAATGTGGGACAGGGATACAGCTGCACCCTGAAAGAGGTCCTCACACAGCTGAGCTGCCATCGTGGCCCAGGATGTGGCTGATGTTGTGAGCGGGGCGATTGGGCTGTTTGCCAGCGTCTGAGGAGGTGTTGGACAGGGACAGTAAAGGAGACATGGGCATGGCTGATCCGTCAGATGGCATGCCTGTAGCAATCTCCGGGAACAAGGACGTCAGGCTGAAGTTGGAGATGTGAGGAGTGATTCCAGAAGAATTGGCAATGGGCATAGGAGTCATATCAGTAAGAAGAGGGAAATTGGTTTGACCAAAGCCGACAGGACGAGGAGGAGAGAGAATAGAACCAAAGCGGTTGTTGAGAGGAGGTGCACTGCTCTTGTCAGCACTGGGGCTAGTAAACATTTGGTTTGGGAAATACTGGAGAGTGACATCACTGGGCAGGCTTGGGTGGGCTGCTGGAGAGTAGGATGGATAGAAAGATGGTAAAGTATTTTGAGCCTCCACTGGTAAAAGAGAAGGAGTACGTGGGGCATTTTGCTGACTCATTGGTGGAATAATAGTGGAGTTTGCGTTGATGGCAGGGGGAGGATTCATCCCTCCTTCTGGAATAAAAGGAAACCCAAAGTTCTGTGTAAGGTGTTGGTCAGGAACCAGGTTGTTGTCAGCTGGGCCCTGAGCCGTGTCAGGCATGAAGCGGACAATAGTGCTGCGACGTGCCTCTGCCCCGGTCTGTGGCCGTCCAAGGAGCACCCCGCCCCCTGAGGGCAGAGACAGGGGTCCCTCAGACTCAAAGGGGTTGGTACTTCTGACAGTACCTGAGCGAGTTCTGTCCCCGGCTCGGAGCTTAGAGGGCTGTGTGTCCCGTGTGATGTGGCGTGTGTGCTGGGCCACAGCAGCGGGGGTTCTGGAGGGGGCAGAGGAGCGGCCAGCTTCAGCACTGCTGTTCGGGGCATGGGAGAGAGCGGTGCGGACACCACTGTGCAGATTACTGCCCAGAGATATGTGGCCCTTGTTACTTTCTCCCAGTCGCATCCCAGGAGCCTTCTGGTTTTGAGAGACACTGGAGCTGGAGGTCTTTGCTTGTAATTCCGTGGATGTGCTTCTGGGTACACAGTATTCCATAGACACTGGGGGGCAGCACTGAGCCACCTGATTATGAACACTCTGCTCAGGAAGGTGAGGAGACAGCAGACTTTGCATAAAGCTCTGATGACACCCATCCTGCACCAGGCCCACCTGCACTTGTGAGGCAGGAAGTGCATTGTAAACTGCCCGGTTACGGCCATCTGCTGGAGGACCCGCTCCAGTCCTAAATCCACCTAGCTGAGGCCCCTGAGGGCCCCTTTGAGCAGGTGGGCCAGACTTGACAGAAATCTCATTCCCACGAGACACTTGCACCTCAAAGCTGCTCACCTGGTGTGGTGCTCCCATGGAGACGCGCTGTCCTTCCACTGGCCTGGAGTGCTCTGTTGGAATGCGGTTCAGGGGGTTGTGAGTGATGTTGGCTTTAGTCCTGGAGGAATCCAGATATCCTCTGAGGTCTGGCTGTTCCTGTGCAGCTCCTCGACCTGGCTGAAGGTGCAGTGACATGCGCTGGTCATTAGTGGAGCTTTTCCCAATGAGAGCTTCTGCAGAGTAGTTAGAGACTCGCTGCCGCTCCTGTCGTGAGGGAGCACAGACCAACTCAGAGGAGCGGGATACAGGGTTAGTAGGTGGGGAGATAAGTGTCTGCTCCAAGCTTCTGGAACTCATCATTCTTTGCATAGCATTATGGTCCTGAGCAGGCTGTGGGGGGAAAACAAAAACAAGCCATTATAATTAAACTATAAAAACATTGACCACCAAACAGTCCCAGTCATACATCTTCGCACACATGCAGCGAAAATTCGAAAATTAATAATATCAATAAATAATCTGAAAAGGTGTGTCTTGAGCCTGCTCATCCTTTCATCCATTATTATAGCCTGCGAGCAATTTCAGTAATCAAATAATCCATTGATTATTACTTTAGATCAGCGATGTGTGGTATGCTTTTTTTCCTTTTTTTTAATCTAACCTTTATTTAACCAGGAAAGTCCCATTGAGATTAAAAACCCCTTTTTCAAGGCAGTCCTGGACAAAAGTTACATACAATTAGATTATAAAAACAGTTACATTTCAACGAGGACGTCTCAGTCTCTCAATCTGGATCTAAAAGCATTCAATGAAATAAATTCAGATAATTTCCAGTCTTTTTGCAACACGTTCCATGTAGAAGGAGCAGCAAATACAAATGCTTTTATCCCAGTTCTTGGCAAAAGCAACAGAGAGCAACAAAAGATCATTCGATCCAAACCATATGAACCAACATCTCTTTGTGTGAGAATGGCAGATGTAAGAGGGCAGCAGACCAAGCCTTAGAAACAAGTGCACCAGTGTCCAAACCTTCTGTGGACAAAGACATCCCACTCGAGTATATCATTCACAGTGAGTCAAGGCTTTGCAGTTCGTGATAAATTGAACATTTTAATTGAATCATTATTTAAGTACAGTTTTTAGTTTTTTTCCTATATTTAGGCGCGGTCTTACAACATTAAATATACTTCTTTACGAAGTCTTTGATGAATACTTAGGTGTACTACGTTACTGTGTAGTGATGGTCATTTGTGGTGGTACTTGGAGAGGCAATTATTTTCCGAGGTAGTACTTGGTTTAAAAGGTTTGCCAACCACTGCTTTAGATTATTCATACACGTTATAATCTCTAACCGGTATTTTCTACACAACATCACAACACCATGGCATAACATGCCATAATAACCACATATCATGGAAATCATGGGCTGTGTTTGACATGTTTTAAGAAAAAGCCTGTTTGTTCGACAAACTATTTTTGGGATACTGTCTGTTATTGTGTCCCAGTAGTCCTAGGATGAGATTTCAAATAAACACCTCACCTTGTGGTGGTCTTGTTGGGGCAGGTGTCCACTGTGGTGGGCTCTGGACACAGGGGCGTCGCAGCTCTTGTCCTGGTGCCTGAAGTGTTGCTGATGCAGCTGCTGCTGCAGGTGCTGTTGGTGTCTGGAGTGAGAGTTTTGCAGCTGTTGCTGGTGCTGCTGGTGCTGCTGTGGGTGCTGAGATGGGTGCTGCTGTGACGATGAGTGCTGAGAGGGCTGATGATGATGCGGAGGCGCTTGCTGCTGCTTCTGTTGCAGAGCAGCAGGTGAAGAGGCCTGATTTCCCCTGACAAGGCCCCTCTTCTTCTGGGCATGCTGCTGTTGCTGCTCTTGTTGTTGTAGCGCCCTCTGGTGTAGAGAGTGGTGTTGTAAGACGTCAGGCTGGGTCAGGTGCTGTTGCAAATGATAAAGGTGCCTCTGGTCTTGTTGCTGCTTCATATAGTGGTTCCCACCAAGGTTTGGGACAGGTTGTGGCGTGTGATGTTGCAGATGGCCTTGAGGCACATGAAGTACCCCCGGTTGACTCTGCTCTGAGAGTCCTGGAGCAGAGCAGTGAGTCTCTGATGGTCGAACTACTGGGCTCATAAAGGAGTTTGTGAATAACGGCCCACTGCTCTCATTATTCATTCTATTCATGATAGAAGAAGATATTGGAGGCAGTTGAGCCCCCATTAATTGACTGTGGTCCAGCCCCTTCACCTCCATCTGGTTAACGGTGTTTCCCGATAGTGGACATTGTTTGGCTCTCTTTCCAGAGTTCATTATGACTTCCTCCTGAGCTTGCCTCTTTGGGATGATTTTAACTCGTTCTGCCATATTAAGTCCAGCCTGAGACCTCAGTAACGCAGTTTTTAGAGGAGTGAGCTGGGCAGATGCTGAACATGGAGAAAGTGCAGCATTTGATTGCTGTGAAATATGAGCAGTGGTGCAGACAGGCGAGGGCACAGATGTCATGTTGGGGGATCCAGGGTATGGTGGTTGACTGCTGCTTGTCCGAATCAAGTTGTTCACACTGAGACTGGCCACTGTGCTATTCTGCATTGTGTTTTGTGGCTGTAGAACAGTCTGAGAGTGAGAGTATGATAGATTTTGGGAATTTCTACTTCTGCCCATTGTGCCCTCATCCTGTCCTCTGATTGGAGGACAAGATGCTGTTTTTAACGTATCCATTGATGTGTTCATTTTTTCCTGCCGTGCAACAGACCCACAATCTTTTGCTGTTGACACTGAGCTTGGTTTTGTGGGCTCCCATGTGCCTGTGTTGGGGTTTGATGTGCCGGTTTTGTTCCCAGTACAAACTGCGGTCTTCCTGTCAGGACTGTCCTGCTCCAACATGGCTAAAGCCAACATCTCTGCTTGTTCTGAGGTCAATACAAACGAGCTAAAGGAGCCAGAAGCAGCACTTAGATTGTGACCTTGTGGAAGCATCGAAGCAACTGAAAATCCACGGCCTCCTGAAGCAGATGACAAGGGAGAATCCGTCTGTCTGCTCAAAGCCAGAGATGAATCCGGCGTTTGATCATCTAAGTTGGTATAAATCTGTTGATTATGTGTGAGGTCTTTTTTTGAGTCCAGGTCAAAGTTGACTATGATTGGATGAATCTTGTCTGTTTTGTTGTGTCCCTCTTGGGAGTTTCCTCGACCACTTTGGGCTGGTTTAACTTCAGGGGGCTGACATGTCCTTTGTATCAGACAGTTAACATCAGAGACATTATTTTTTTCCCGTGAACTAGGTAGAGGGGTTAAATTCATAGTGTTTGTAAAGGGTGGCATGGTGGTGGACACAGATGCTGTGGGCCCAGGTCTAGAGCAGGGTACAGGCTCGAGCTCAAGTGATTCTTGAGGAATACATACAGAAGATGTCATTACATTTGATGTACTATTGGGGCAGGTGAGTCTTAGCTGCGTTGAAATTCCACAAGACGAATCCTTTTGTTCAGAACTTGCCAGAATAATCTTGTTTTGTATGGAGCTACTTTCTTTTTGCATCTTAACAACAGTGGAATTATTGGCAACAGTCGATATGTTTTCAGAGGGTATACTGGTCTTAATTTCATTAACTGTAGAACTAACAGATACAGTGGTAGGGATGTCTGCCACTGCTGTTAGTAAGCCAGTAGTATTCGATTTATTTATCAAGTTGGTAGTTTTAGCAGAATCATTTGGTAAAGATGAATGACAGGAAACGGAAATCCCATTTTGCGAAATTGCCACATTTGAACTTGGATCTGTGTTTTGTGTTATTGTTACATTCATAGACTGTGTGATTGAACTGATTGCTGTAGAAGTCACACCTATTGAAGAGCTATTACTCTGAAAATTTTCTGGAGTGGAATTCTTTAAATCATTTGGCAAAATTTGACTTGTACTTGTTACAGGTGTAGTCTTGGCCAAAATAACTGCAGGCGGTTTAATTTTCTGCTCTTGATTCTTGACTTGCCTAATCTTTTTGATTTTTTTGGCAGGTAAACATTTTCTAACTGTGTTTTTGGGGGATTTTGCAACTATGGCTGGCTTAATAGGTTTCAAACATGGACGTTGAATAGGTAAAGTTACAGCACTTTCAGACCCAGAGGTGGCATTAGTAGGTTGCTGCTGGATAATTGATGAGGATGAGAGATTGTTCTGACCTGAAATAGATATAGGGATGCCTTGAGAGATGCTCTGATTAAGACTACTTAGAGCACCGAGACTGTTGAGAGCAACATTCGTTGTTGGTTCCTCTGTGGTGGTTGGCTGAATGAGCTGCAGTGTGGTCTGTCCACAGTTTGAAATCAGGTTTTCTGACGTCTTTACTGGCTGCAGAGCAAATACTTGGCCATTCACAGTGATTGTCTGTGGTGTTGCAGGAGCCGGTGTGGATGTGGTCGATTGAGAGACCGGTTGGCATTTATTTTGTTGAGGTTGAACAGGGCGGGGCAGAATATGCACTAGTTGCTTGCCTCCAACAGTCTGTGGTGACGTGACTGATGTTGAACCAGTAGAAGTGATGCTGGTAGACGCAGCAGGCACCGAAGGTACAGCAGGAGGCACTACGCTGACATTTTGAGGTGTTGGAGCAGATGGGTTGGGGGCTTGGATGATCACTATATGTTGACATGGCGTTGAATTGGTAATTTCTTCTCTCACAACTGCCTGAGCAGGGCAATTATTTGCCTGCTGTAGAATGACCACACTCTGATTGTTTGTGCTCTGTGGTGCCGTCACACCTGGTGCTGTTGAATTGGCAGTTTTAACCTGCAGCACTTGCATCGTCTGAAGGAGAGGCAGCACAGCAGGTTGCGCCTGGGGTACCAGAGGAGGCTGAGACAGAAGAGCAGGAGAATGTGTGACCAGGGCTGCAGGTTGAATGACAGCTGGTTGTGATACTACAGCAGTGTGGGCCATCACAGCAGGCTGGGACATAATGGCTGATGGACTGAGAACGGCACAGGGATTTTGAGGGGCTACAGATTGCCTCTGTGAAAGAATGGTTGGTTGTAGCTGTGATTTAATCTGGCAGGGTGTTTGTTGAGCTGATGCAGATGGCTGCATTTGTACTTGAATTGGTTGACATACTGTCATCTGTTGAACATTCGGAGCATCGTCAGGAGGAGAAATACTCTGACACACAGGCTGCACCGTGTTCCCTGCCATCTGTAAAGTGGTCCAAGTAGTCTGTGTGCTGCCTGCTGCCTGTGCCCTGAAGAAGGGCTGGCTGTTGGGAACAGCAGTGTAAGCCACAGTCCTGATGGCAGGGTCCAGAGAAGCCAAAGATGTAGTTGATCTGGCTGCTCTTATGGAAGGGGTAAGTGAAGTGAGACTAGATAAAGGGACTATAGCGCTTTCACTTGGCAGAGGGGAGGCTGAGGTGGAGGCTATAGTCAGTGTTTGAACAGCGGCAGCAGGCTGCGGTTGTGGCAAGGCTGTGGTGACTGTAGGAATTTGAAGGGTGATGTAAGACACAGAGGGTGGGAGGCTTGAAGCTAAAGCTGGAGTCTCAACCACACACTGCTCTATTGCTCGTGGGGCTGTAACAGCTGAACTGGGAAGCAGTGATGGTGCTGAGGATGAAGTATTAACTTGAACCAAAGCTCCATTGACCCTTAAATGTGCACTGGCCTCAGACTGTTGTTGCAGAACTAGTGTTTCCATCGGTTGTGCTCTTGAGTCCAAGTCCTTGCCATTGGAATAGACAATTATGCCTTTTTGAATTTGAGAAGTTACATTAGAGATCTTGTTACAGCGTTGTTTACCCTTCCAGTGAACAGTGGGATCCTCCAAAATATCATGGGCTTTGAGTAGCTGAATGTAATGCGCGCTTTCTTTCCTCATATCCTCCAACTGCAGCCTTAGACGTCGTATTTCAGATGCTAAAATATGAAAAATATATTAGACACAATTATACAATCCTATGGTTTATTGTAACAGAGCTGTTCTCACTCGTAAGCATACCTTGGGTTTTCTCTGCTCCTTCCAAAAGCATTGTATCATTTTGTTTCTTTAACTCTGTGATGTATCGGAAAGCCTGGTCCAAAATCATGATCTTACTCTTAAAAAATAAAAAAAATAAAAAAAGGTTTCAAATACAAAATTGTATAAATGTAGGCACATGTATTAATCCGAATCCATGAATGTCCTCACCTGTTTAAGAGCCTGTGAACAAGGCAGGAGATTTCCAATTCGGCTGATTCCAGCATTAATCTTCTCTTTTCTGTGTCTTTCAACTGCGAGTAAAGGGTAATTAAATCTGTTATAAACATGGAAACATCACACGTGAATGTATACGGAAGATAACAGACCTGCATTGTGGGATTCTTTGTTTTTCTTCTTCCTATAACAAATTCCATGATTATATTTAAAAGCAGCTTCTCTTGTCATTAAAATGTAAAAGTGCATCACATAAGTGTCATTTACTTCGGTTTTCGCCCAGATGTTTGAGTTTCAGTCATCTCTGGCATCCTTTACCAACAAATGCCTTTCGCTTTACACATCGGTCCCCATGTTCACAAGACCGGCTCCAAACGACAGGACTGGTCCTAAATACAGTAAAAGATAACTTTTTACAGCCTAACCAACCAGACCTCAAAGCTCTCACGCTTTACTAAAGCCCTGCAGCCCAGGGAAGGCGGATATAGCGTGTTAATAACGTGATAAACAGAGCTTCTACTCAGTGAAAACAGATAATCAGCAGATCAGACTAGACTCGTTTGTGTTAATATCAAAGTAACACGCAAAGACGCAACACCATCAGTATTGACATGCTTTGGCGTTGTAAACTCCTTTATGATTAGCTCCATGCTAACATAGCTTAGCGCTTTGGGTACGATGTTTGGGCAAAGTAAGACATGATAATTTACAATTCTGATGCGCAGGGGAAATATTAAATGTTTCCTGTACAAACCTGGGCTATAAACATGTTATTCTCCGTGTACAGCAGCGAAGATTCCAACATAGGAGGCAGGGTGCTAGTGTCTCTCAGGTCAACTCATCTTCCAAACAACCTGCGCAAGTCGAACATGGAGCTGGAGTGGGCGGGACATACTGTCACTCAGCCAATAGCTAGACAGAAATAAAAGGTCTAAGCCAATCATCATTCAGTAACGTAAGTGAAGCATCAGGAACGTTGTTACTACTGTTATGACCATAGACATAAAGACTTATATATCTATGGTTATTACACTCCAGTGCATGGTCAGTATCAGCTCCTTCACACAAGAGACACATCAACATTAAGTTATAATAAATTCAGCCATATTTACTGCAAATAGTAATTCCTTTATTTAGACGTTAAAAAGTTTACAATATAGAGCTTCAGAAAAGATAAAATTCTTCAAATAAAGGATAATCATGCTTACACTCTAGAGGAGAGTACAGTTCTCTCCTTGCATGCAGAGGGTCAGAGTTTCCTCTGGGCAGTAAACTGCCAGAAATCAAATGAAAAGATTGAACAAAATTCAGATTTGTGTCAAATTAGAAAAGACTGGCAACATTGTGCGCCAAAGGCAATATGTTTTTACCAACAAAAATATATAATTCCCACTGCACAATCAGATCTTTAATATCTGAATTACAATCCAAACATTCAGGTAGAATTACAGTTTTGTCCAACAATTGTATTAATACCAGCAATCCCAGGAGAACCTCTGAACCGTTGCCACTGCAGAGTTAAAATAACAGAAACCGCTGTTTGGAGAGTTAAAAGACTGAAGTTAAGAATACTATAAACGTTGACTACATTGTTCCACCACCACACAACTGTTAAGCCCCTTGCATCGAGGTGCTAAGGCAAGATGTTCATCTCCATACCTTTGATACACAACATGTCACCCACCTGGTCCTATTCCAGGAGTCCCAGGGAGCAGTGACTGAGCTGTGACCATTCCACCCGGTTCCAACACAAACTAGAGGGACTGCGGTGTGAGCAATGTCCGTTCAAACACTTCTGCGGCTTCAACAGTCTGGGCCTATACTATAGATATGACCCCATCAATACTTCAGCCATATCAGTTCTCAAACACAGCTGTATGATTTTTCAAGCACTTCTCCACTCAGATAAAGGTTGTTTCATGTCAAAAATCAAATCAATTAGAAATTTGAGGGTTTGTGTCCAAATATTAACTGCATTTTAAAAAAAAGGGCAACAATTTAAGGGGACCCTTTTGCAAAACAAACGCACACCTTTAGAATAATAAATCTGTTCTCTTTTTAGCGTCCATTGAAGAAAGTGTTACGGTTTCGACCCTGGGGAATTTATCACAGTTCTGTTTCTGTGGAGACAGGCACATCTGCGCTCTTCAAAAGCCGTGCCTCTACTCTGTTTTTTGAAGCTCTCCAGTGGGAGGTGCACACGGACTACGCAGACTCTTTTGCAACACATGGGCATCTGCAGGCTCTATCCTCTTGTAGTAATTTTTCTTTGTTTCAATGATCTCAAAACCAAACTTCTGGTAAAAGTCAATGGCTGACTCATTGCTGATCTGCACATGACTATGGAAGAAAGCAAAAATGATTGTCAGGTTTAATACAGTAAAAAAAAAAACGAAGAAAAAAACTCAAGCCCATACTTACAGGTAAATGTTGTCAAAAGTTCCATCCTTCTCACAGATATTTAGCACATGATTCAGCATTTTTGTTCCTTCAAACAAACAGAATAGGAAAGATAAGATCAAACATAAGAAATTAAAGAGCAACAAGCAGTGATTCTCACCAATGCCAAGTCTTCGGTAGGGTGCTAGACATCCAAGTGTCATTATGTACAGTCTTTTCTGATTTTGAGAATGGTCCACTCGACAGCACACAGCTCCCACTGCTATGTCATTAAAGTATGCTGAAAAAAATAGTAAGCAAAACTGACAGTTAATAATACAAATAAAAAATAATGTTGGGTCATTGTTGGACATGAGGCCGATTACTTACCAAGCTTTGCCAGCTCCCCAACTTCCAAAACATCCTTGTAAAATTTATCATTGTAGCTGACAGGGAAGATGACCTGGTTGAGTCGTTTTAGTTGTTTAATGTTATGGGGCGTTACATCCCCCAGCTCGATCCGGCTACTGGAACAAGAGCAAACTGGTTAAATAGATGAAAATCAAAATGTAATTAACTCATTCACTGCCCATGACGACAAAACTCGTCATGTTGAATAGTGACGCTCACTGCCCATGACGAGTATGACGAGTTTTCCGTGTTATTACACGGGAGGCTGCAGTAATGTCTGGCGCACCTTGTGAATGACCCACAACACTGATATATAGTGCAAATGTACCTGTAATGATAAATCACCACCAGTAGGATGCAGTATTGCACCACAGGAGAGGTCATAAGTCAGTGGAGAGGAGGAGGAGGAGTGTGGGGTCTTTGGACAGCGTGCTGCTGTAGCAGAGCGATGATAGCGTAGTATTGAGACAGATCAGTGATCTAGTTTAGCGATAGTATAGCAAGAGTGATGGCGAAAAAGAATAGTTATAAGCAGCTGACACTGCTTCAGAGATTGACTCGCGGATCAGTGAGTGAGGTCGAGAGTGGAGAGCAGTGGCGGCCGGCCAATAGAGGGCGCTAGGGCGCCGCCCCACCACTCACAACTTGCCATGTTACCTTGAATAAAACGTTAAAAAAAATAATAACATTAAAATATTTCGAAATTTGTGTGTGTTTTATTTCAGATGTGGAAGAAATACTTTATAGTTTATGCTGAGTTGGATTGATTAAGCTCATCAGCGTTGTCTGTGTCGGACTGAGGACGTATTTCCGCCTCAGGGCGCAAAAGATTGCGCCCTAAGCCGTCTATGGACTCTCGTTAAAAGTTGTACATGCGCAGTAGCTCCTCTTCAATGCAAGAGATAAGACGATTTGGGGGCGCAGGAGAAGTGCGCCCTGAGGGGGCGGGATCGCCCGCGACCTGTACTGTCACTGTCTGTGACGTCCGTTTACAGTGATTGACAGGTCAAGCTGTGGGAGTTTGAGACGAACGTAAAGAGACGCAAAATGGAGAACGAGAAAAAGAATAATTCAGTTAGATCACTCAAAACAATACCGTTTGAGAGAAGATCATACCAGGAGAAGGTTGAGGTTAAAGAGCTTGGACCTGATCAGCCAAATATTACCATTAGTCAGCAGTCCAGGACCTGGTTCAGCGCCAAATCTTGGCTAGCAGCATGTAGCGAGGCTAATGCTTTATTTTGCTTTCCATGCCTCTTGTTTCAAACATCAGGATCTGACCCAGCATGGATCAAGACAGGTATGACTGATCTGAAGCACTTTTTAGAAAAGGCAAAGAAGCATGAGCAGACTGGTATCCACATGCAAAATGCCCTCAAATTAGCTATGTTTGGGAAGATAAATATTTCATCCCAGCTGGATGAAAGCTACAGGGTAGGGATCAGAAAGCATCCCTACCCTGCTGGTATATATCTAGTCATCATATTCATAGCCCCCCCAGTAGAAAATTCCACCAGCCGCCACTGGTGGAGAGAGTGGAGACCCCGGTGGAGGTCCGTCTCTGCAGCTACATTTGCGCGGAGCAAGAGCCCCGAGCAGAGACACACCCTCCGCCTCTCGCAGCGTATCAGCTGCTGTTGTTACTGATGCCTCGGATTCGTTCAGCAAACCTGATCATGATTTATCGGATACACTCACAAACACTCACACGCACTCACTCACTCACTCACGCACACAGACACTCACTCGCACACTGACATTCACACACACAGACACTCACTCGCACACTGACATGCACACTGACATTCACACACACACACTCAAATTCATATGCTTCATTCTATTTTATACATCTATAGTTTTATTGATCTTTGTGTTGTTGTTGTTTGACGTTTTGGTTAAATTTTAGTTAAATTTTCTATCTGTGAATAAATTGCCAACAATTTGCCATCAAAAGTATTATTTCAGAGTCATGTTTTTATAATTTTTGTAATGGAACAAGTGTGAAGATGTTTTGAGTTGTCACTAAAGCAGCAAAAATGCATCTAAAAGTCTCTTTTCTGCTTGATATGTTCCTGTTTACATACAGCTCGTTTTCTCTGTTTTCTTGCTCAGACCAGGTGTTATGGGTGAAAGTATGCTTTGTTCTATGGCAAATAACGCAAGAACGGTAAGAGGTAGAAACAAACTGTTTTTTTCAGAGTAAAGCAGAGAGGTGAATCTTTAATTTGGTGCCCTTGGTGTTTACATCGTCTAAAAGATGAATATTCTGTGGCACTTCAAAGTTGGGTCAAATCACCTGAAATTGCTGGCAGAATGCACTTCTCAAATCTGAAAATGCCTGGCAGTCAGTGAGTTAAGTAAGTATGACTTATTTAATGATTTAGGTAATTTAGGATTGTTAAACATTCTTTTTTATCAACTATAACATGGAATGAAGGAATAGAACCTTGAGTCTACCCTGTGTATGAGGACTATTATGTTTATTTATAGTTGCAGTAGTCCACAGGAAAAACAGCTGTTGGTCACGTGTGTATTTGGCGTCCGTGCTAATATAATGAATTCACACATTTAAACATGTGTACGATTACTTCTGTGAAAACAGTGCAGCAATTCACCACAAAATAGGCATCTAAATAACTATCTCAAATATCAGGTTGCAGTCATGTTTACATAAAAAAATGAAATGCACGTCTTAAAGCTGCAATTGTTAAGGCCGATTTTAGTAATACAACTCAACAGTATTGGATCCTACATATTCAAATGTTACTGACTCAGCTCCATGGTACTAGTTAGCCAGTTAGCTTAGCCTCAACCAACACGAGTGAAGATCACACAATGTGGCTGACAAGTAAAACAAAAAAATGCGTTATGGTCAAAGGTTTTGTTACTAGTGGCTTAATAATGTTAGCGATCGAAATGTATCCGAGTACCAAGCTAGCTGTATGCTCCCCGCCTCCCCATGTAAAAAACAGACATGAAAAACTTTGCCTGTTGTAAGCTACTTATTCGAGCCTAGCAAGCTTACACTCACCCTTTCATTGTACACAGGGACACTCCCTTACGCTCTGCAGGACGAGTGTTTTAGATTATTCGTGGCAAAAATAAAGAATGGTAACAAAGTTATGGTAAGGGGTGCGTTCAGCTTTACCCTCCACATGTAGCTAGGTGCGATTAGCACCGCTCCTCCACCACTCTGTCAACCCTGACCCATGGGCATGCGCAGTGCCATTGCAACGCTGGACGTAAAATGTCCAAATGTTAGTAAATTATTATTAAGTATTAAATAGTTTAGGTAAAGCTCTAGCTGCTGGGACTCATAACTAATTGAACTGTAAGTTCGAATATGATGCATTCTTAAACTTACACCAGATAATCATTAATCGTCGGGTTCTGCCATTTTGGCTCTTGTTAAAATACAAAACAATAGATATTTTCACTGTGATTGCATTTGCCAGCAATGTCATCATATTATCATAATTACTCGTATTTTCTGTCTTTAATCACCACTAAAGATAAGTTGTGCACTACTCGAATCCTGAATTAAACTCACTTGTTTGAGCTGTGTGTGGATCCAAAATGGCGCTAGTTTCTTTGACCGCATCATAGCTCTGCCTCCAGTGAATGAAGTCAGCTGACCACAGCCTGCTGTCACGCATCGCAGCACCATTTCTCTACGACACAAGACACTAAACCACTGCAGTGTAACCAGAAGGTAAGTCTGACTTTTTCCCAGTTCTGTTGTAAATGTTATGCTAGCAGACCTGAAACCTAGGACTGAAGTTTTACAGTTTCGTTTGACATGAAAACAAAAATGCGGCTTAGGCAAACAGGCCGTGGCATCTGCCTTGCTAGGTTTCACGACAGGATCGCCAACATTTCCACGTATATGTCTTTTATTAAAACCTCTATGCATTCACGTATTTATTAGTCTAGCTGTGTGCTGCTGTTGGTGATTGCATCGTGGAAAACAAACATTTTATTCACACAAGATCATCAGGCCAGGTACACGGTGCATAGCCTCTCCAACGAGACTGGGTTTACTACGATTTCAGTGCATGACGATGAACCACAACTTTGCTTTTAAATGTAGGCAGGTAAATGTTCAAGTGATATTTGGAGTAACCTCTCACTTACATGTTACATTTAGCAGTCAAGGTGGAGGCTGGAGCCACAGTCTTGGAAAACAAATATTCATAATCCATTCAACTGCCTTCTTTTCTATACAAACAATACCTTTTGTATTGAATGCAAACAGCAAACTGTCCACTCCACACTGACATTTTATTCTTATTCTTATATTTTTTATATATTTATGGTTTTTTGTGTGTGTACAGATTTAGATTATGTTGTACTTCCCCCAAAGTCTCAAGGAGATGACCAGTCATGTGCCAGGATCATATGATCAAGTGTCATGGCTGCCATTGTCATAATAAAGAAAATAGTAAATATGCACTGATTCGAAGGCTACAATAATGAGGCTTGAACACCATATATGTGCAGCAACAGCTAGGTCCCCAATAAGAAGTTAATTATCTTGTCAAATGTTTACACTTTTGCCCAATTCCTTTATGATGATATTGTTTTCACATAATCATATCGTTTTGTTGTCACTCAATTATATATGAGGATGATTCTTTGAAATTATTGAATATTATGTAATTTAAAACGTAAACTGATCTGCCACGATTGCCAGGTTTGTAGTTCCTATATTTGCACATTAGAGGGAGCTCCTTTTCTCTCAGATGGCTTAGCAACTGAACAGGAAGATCTCCGCATCAGTGGGAAGGACAAAATAAGGGCACTCACATAGTTATTGTAAACCTATTCGGATTATTGAAACAATTAAAATTTATGTGACAAGCATTGAGGAAGTATAGGCACAGTTTTTGCATTTTTAAATGAGGTTTAGGATAAAAAGTACTTTTTTACACAAGTTTCCCCTGATTGGTTTACAATTGTAGTGACAAAGTTAGACAATGTCCTCAATAAAATATGTTCTCATGTAAAGTTTGGAGGTAAATCTATTTTTCCCTCAGGGCATTTTTAGCTTCATCAACTAATCTGCTGAATTGCTATTGAATTACTTATCTATGTATTGCAATATATCTATTATTACCTTTGACGTGCATTTATTCATATATTTGTATTATTCTTAGTTGTACGTTCGTCAAGATGGATGTGTCCAAGCTTCCAAAAATCAGGGATGAAGAACGGGAGAGCCAGTTTGGCTATGTCCATGGAGTGTCTGGACCAGGTCTAAAAAATATTTCCCTCTTTTAAAACAATGTCATCTTCAACCATCCAAATAATGTTTAATCTCCTTCTGGCTATTATTTCAATTTCACAGTGGTGACAGCTACAGCCATGGCCGGCGCAGCTATGTATGAACTGGTTCGTGTGGGACACAGTGAGCTGGTTGGGGAGATCATCAGACTGGAGGGTGATATGGCCACCATTCAAGTCTATGAGGAGACCTGTATCCTTTTGAATGAGTTTTCCTTTAGCACATGATTTACTGTTTACATGTGAGCTGATCAAAGATAAAAATGATTATCCTGAACATTTACTCAGCTGGCGTTTCGGTTGGAGACCCTGTTTTGCGAACAGGAAAGCCTTTGTCCGTTGAGCTAGGGCCAGGAATTATGGGCTCTATTTTTGATGGTATCCAGCGACCACTGAAGGATATTAATGATATAACACAAAGCATCTACATCCCCAGAGGTGTCAACATTGGCGCCCTCAACCGAGATATAAAATGGGAATTCTCTCCGAGTAAAAGTTTAAGGGTAGGCTTTTTTATTTAGAAAAAAATATTATGTTGAAAACAATATGTAAATATATTGTACCTCATTGATTTTCTAGGTTGGCAGTCACATTACTGGAGGCGACATCTATGGTCTTGTTTTCGAGAACTCTCTTATCAAGCACAAGATTATGCTTCCTCCTAAAAACAGAGGCACCGTCACTTATGTGGCACCTCCAGGAAACTACGATGTCAGCGTAGGTATTCCTTCTGCTTGGGGAAAAAGGCTAATCACAAAGATTCTATTTTATTATAATTGTGGATGTCTTTATAGGATGTGGTCATGGAGTTGGAGTTTGAAGGGGTCAAAGAAAAGTTTACCATGGTTCAGGTATGGCCTGTTCGACAAGTGCGCCCGGTCACGGAGAAACTTCCTGCAAATCATCCATTGCTGACTGGACAGAGGGTTCTCGACGCTCTCTTTCCGTAAGTATAATGTTCTGTTATCGAGGTTGCCCGTCCGGCGAGTAAAAAGTGTCAGAACTGCTACTGGATGTGTGCCTACGCAAGATACTGTTATTTGTCAATTTATACATATTTTCATTTGTAGATGTGTACAAGGTGGAACCACAGCTATTCCAGGAGCCTTTGGATGTGGTAAAACTGTCATTTCCCAGTCTTTGTCCAAGTACTCAAACAGCGATGTCATCGTCTATGTGGGATGTGGAGAGCGTGGAAATGAAATGTCTGAAGTGTTACGAGACTTCCCTGAGGTATTGAATCAAATTCTTCATCTGGGAGTCCTTTTCAGACCAATTCTTATAAATATTTATGTCAAATTTTAAACATAGTTGACCATGGAAGTGGACGGGAAGACGGAGAGCATCATGAAGAGAACAGCACTAGTAGCGAATACCTCCAACATGCCTGTAGCTGCCCGAGAAGCTTCCATCTACACGGGTAATGCATGAAAAAGCCTTCACATAATAATTAACATAACAGAAATGGTATTTTTTGTTTAGTTTATTCATGTTTTATATAATACTTGCAGGTATCACCCTTTCTGAGTACTTCAGAGACATGGGATACAATGTGAGCATGATGGCTGACTCGACTTCCCGTTGGGCTGAGGCTCTCAGGGAAATTTCTGGACGTTTGGCTGAGATGCCGGCTGGTGAGTTTCTAGTTAACTTACAAACTTCTGTACATTAACAACAGTGTAATCAATGAAATGCTCTTGTGCGTCCTCAGACAGTGGTTATCCCGCTTATCTCGGAGCTCGTCTAGCCTCCTTCTATGAGCGAGCTGGAAGAGTTAAATGTTTGGGTAACCCTGAGAGAGAGGGCAGTGTTAGTATTGTTGGAGCGTGAGTATAACCTTCCACCACTAGAGGGCACTATTGACACAGCGTTTTTTAGCGATAGCATTTTAGATCATTAAATGTATTTCTTTTTGTTCAGTGTGTCTCCTCCTGGCGGTGACTTCTCTGACCCTGTTACCTCAGCTACACTTGGTATTGTTCAGGTGAATTGAAATGTGTAGTAAGTTTGACAGATTGTTGATAATATTTAGTGTTTGACAATAGTTTTCTATGTTTAGGTGTTCTGGGGATTGGATAAGAAGCTGGCTCAGAGGAAACACTTCCCATCTGTAAATTGGCTTATTAGCTACAGTAAATACACTCGGGCTTTGGATGAATACTATGACAAACACTTCCCAGAGTTTGTGCCTCTTCGTACAAAGTCTAAAGAGATTTTACAGGAGGAAGAGGATCTGGCTGAGATTGTGCAGCTTGTTGGGAAGGTAAGGCAAATATCTTAGAGTAACTTATACTGGAAAAAGCCAATGATCGTTTTTTAGCGAGACAGTAATTTAGACTTAGTTATAAAATATGAGTTCAAGACCTGTTCACCAAGCAGTTAATGAGATACTCAAATATGTCTCCGAAAACAAATGCAGCTTATGTGAACATGTTTTTTTAAACAAATTCTATAATACCATAAATGACTTCCTCTTTTGTCAATTAAATGGTAATTGAGTTAGAACTCTCTCTCTGGTTGCTTAAACAAATCTTGGATACCAAACAAGATCACCATCCCTCTTTTATACTGTCTATGGCATTCTTTATTCTTTATTTTTATATACAGATACTGTAATTTCATTTTTATTTTTTAACAGGCATCTCTGGCAGAATCAGACAAGATTACTCTGGAAGTCGCTAAACTTATCAAAGATGATTTCTTGCAGCAGAATGGTTACACTCCTTATGACAGGTTCATATCAATATGTTAATTCTTGCCTTCCATTACAAATATACAGCGTTGCTTAGCTTTCTGTGTCTCTTTCAGGTTCTGTCCTTTCTATAAAACGGTAGGAATTCTGTCCAACATGATTGCTTTCTATGACATGGCACGACATGCAGTGGAAACCACAGCTCAGAGTGACAACAAGATCACCTGGGCCATGATCAAAGAGCACATGGGTGAAATCCTCTATAAGATCAGCTCCATGAAATTCAAGGTAATTATTTATCAATGGTTCCGGAATGACTAACATTTGTGCGAAACACTAGATTTCTATGTTCAACAAGAAACATGTAGTTTAAATCACGTATGCTTGCTGCGTAGTCTGTGCTTTGTAGGTTGTCCAGCCATTGTTCAAAGGCATAAGTATCAAATTGTCTTTCTGTGCGTCTGCATGCAAGTTCCTGTGAGACTTTAGATCCACCTTTTTCAGTGGAACACATTCGTAAAAAAGGAACGTGAATTCGAGCCGATACATTTTACATCAGCGATAATAAGGTCTCCACTTCTGTCTGTTCAGTAAATATTTCATCTTTATGCGCCGTTCAGAACAGTCTCCTTTCAGTCCCACACTTTTTTTTAGCAGCATTTCTCTTCTTCTGATTGAAATAAGTTGGCATTGGGTCAAATCTACCAACCGAGTTAGTTGCTGTATCCGCCAATACCTGACATCATACAACAGAATTCCAAATCTCTTATCTCTCAACAAGCTCCTTATACTATAATTGTATTTACTTTAGTTATTTTAAAACACTTGTAGATGCTCTCAGCCATCAATGACCAAAAATATTGTCACTCTTGCAGACTTATGAATAAATACAGTAAAATAATAAACCAAACCATGTGTGTTATTCTCCGTTTGTCTTTTAGTTAAAGTCAAAGCAACATCAATATATTGTCACAGTGATATTTGATACACATTCATATCGCTGTATTCTTAAGAAAATCCCATCTTGTTCTCAGAAATGCATTTTGTGTGTACCAGAGGGCGCGCCACTCCTGATCTAATCATTGTGGCCATGTTTTTTATTTTTTATTTTGACCCTCTGTTCTTGCTTCATTTCCCAGGACCCAGTGAAGGATGGCGAGGTGAAAATCAAGGCAGAGTACGCTCAGCTGCTGGAGGACATGCAGAACGCCTTCCGCACTTTGGAGGAGTAGAGTCAAGCACACACCGTCGCCCTCTCCAGTGCTGAGTCACATTCCACTTTCCGCTGTACATCCCAACAACCTCCTCGTGCTCCCCTTTGCTCTTGTGGTCGACCGTGTGTGTGTGCAGTTTCATGTGGAGGGAAAAGAGAAACTATGTACTGTATTCATATTTCTTTAGCCTCAAGGGGGCGCTCTCTGGATCCTCTGCATGGTCCTTGATTGTGAGTGCGTTTGAAAGAGGAATCACATATTTTTTTTCTAATTTTCTTGTTTACATAATCGTTTTATTAAATATAGTTTTGTTGCTGTTGTGTTGTAATTACATATCCCAACTGTATAAAGTATTGGATATAAATTTAATGAGATCAACTATTTATTGCCAGCATTATGACGTGAAGGCTTTGTTTTTATAGTGTTTCATGTTGTGCCGTGTTGTGTTCGTTGGTGCTGGAGTGTGTATGCCTCATCTGTCTAATAGTTTCATCATGTTGCTCCCAAAGAATAAAAGAATGGGCAAAAGAAATATGTTGTTGGGTGTATCTTGTGGAGCAGCTGCACGCAGAGTGACTTTACTGGTCTTTCAGCATTTCTGGTTGTATTCAATTTAAGTTCACAAGAAGCATAAGGTCAGATCAAGACAATGAAGTGGCTTTAACAGCGTGCATACAGACAAATGAGCGTCACCAGTGCGTTGAAACTCCCTGAGGGTTTTCCCCACAGACAGACCGAGAAGATGCGACTGCAAGACACCAACTGGATCCGCAAAGAATGACCAGGAGCTGCCGTTCAGTATAAGCTGCAGTTTTAGCATTATAAGTCTTTTTTTTTTTCGTGTGTTTGGCCTTAATAAGCTGAAATCCTGGGTCCACAACGAGTCAGGTAAGCACATCAAGTTTTGTATAGTTTTAATTTTTTCCCCCAATGATTTAGTCGAATCAAAAAAGCGCGAATTACAATGCTGTAAAATACGGAAAAATATAAGAATAGCTTATTATTTGCTCTATACCAAGTTGTTAAAAAAAAAAAAAAAAAAAATCTAGATCTATTGAAGTGCCACACAATTTAATTACACCCTTTCTTGAACAAATCCTTTCAAATTTAAAGCCATTAACAACTTTTTGACAGATTTTCAAAACGTAATTACTATTTTTGTATATGAATTTTTTCCCGCAATGATTTGTCTTTGAGGAGATTTCAGTGAAGTTTCTATAAGTGCCAGGCTCAGTGATCCTCGTCAGACCTGTTCTCCAGCACTGTCACCTGCGCGTCAGGAGGACTTGTGTGACAGCGTGTTCCCATTCTACGAACATGTAACATTTGGCTCTGTCTTATTTGTTTTGGGTTTTTTTGCTCCAGCGAATCTGAGCAAATGGACCAGGTCTCCATACGGTCAGGGGGGGTCGGTAACGACACCGCAGATGATTCTGCCTCCCTGGTGGACGAAAGGTGGAGCGACGACGAGGAAGAGGTGATTAAATAAATAAATAAATAAATAATCTGTTTCCCACTGTGCTGCTGCATTAAGCATACACAGTGACCTATTAACGAACACGCAGTCCATGCAGATGTTCTATTACTCTTACCTGTCATGCCATGGAGTTGAGACATTCTATTCTTTGTATGATAATAAATAACGAAACATTTAAGATGAGTTCCAACAAGACAATTCATTTTCATGAGATGGACCTCAGAAAACCCAATGCACCTTTAACATGAACTTGTTAGTATATTTCCTCTTATAATTATGCTTTTATTTTATTGCACTGTAGTCCAATGTCCATGCCTTACCATAGCTTACTCATGTGTAATGTCTGCACTAAACATAGCTAAGCAATCTTGTGTATTGGTTGTAATAAAAGTGACATAAGTGCGTGGTGTAAGGCTAAACACATTTGGATTCTACACTAAATAGGTTGAATATGTGTATGTATATATATTTGGACTTATAAATACCCTGAGAGCTCCTGTGGACTCACCACCTGCAGGAGGAAGGGCTGGTGCTCTGTGTACTGGGTGCAGCTCTGACTGCCACCCCCCGACCCAGAAATGGATTAAGGGGAAGAAAATGGATGGATGGATGAATACTCTGAGAGACATTGGTCATTATTTATGTATCATTGTAGCTGGCCACGTTCTTTTATACTGTTGCTGTATTCAAAATGTTGGAATATAGCTTGTATATGTAGGACGTATACTTTTAAAGATCTAAGATATGTTGACGAACCGTTTCTGCTTTTGTATGACTGATTTACACCTTTCTCTGGTGTTTTCTGTTTCAAGCCATTTTTTCACTATTTCTTGGTGTCCTGGTGTAAGTTCTTATAATGATAATTCAGTCATAATTATATTATGTGTATTACTTTCAGAGCTCTGATCCTCAATGGCAGTGTCTTGCCAGCCCTCAGACCCCACTAGCCACCTACAAACAGCGGTATGAAGAGTTCAAGAAAACTTTTAAGGAGTTACCAGAAACAGAGATACTCATTGTTGGTAGGTTTTACAGCTTAATTCACCCATGTTTATGGCATGTTTTATTATCCCATGTTGTATTTATTTTGTAACTAATGTAGAAGACTGTTTTTGTCTGAAAGTTGCACTGTGTTGACACTGTTTCTGTTTTTGCAATGAGGACTTAAAGTTGTTGCAATATTCTCCGAGAATAACAGTGGTTTGCATGGTTGCATTGTCACGTGGGTCTCATCAGTCTGGTGTTTCTCCATAGACTACCATTGTGCTCTCCAGCGGGACATCCTCCTCCAGGGGCGCCTCTACCTGTCTGAAAACTGCCTTTGTTTCTACAGCAATGTGTTCCGAGGCACAAAGGTAATAAAGCAGCTCTATGTGTACAGGCTTGTGGAAAACACACATAACACACTCTCCTTGACATCCCTTTGATTTATGCTGCACAGACAATGAATAAAGATGTAATAAAAGTTAAATTAAATATAAGCAAATATAAATGAGTTGAAGTGAGTTGAAATAGCTTATAATAAAATCCAATAATAAATGTGAGCTCACACATGGCTTCTGCAGGCGAGATCAACATTCACCCATAGTTTAAATGTGTCTTGTTTTAGATCATACTGAATCTCAAAGAAATAATGTCAATGACAAGAGAGAAAACGGCACGATTGATTCCTAATGCAATCCAGGTTTGCACTAGCAGTGAAAAGGTAAATGTACAGACCATAATCCAATCTAACAGTAAAAATATTTCTTCTAATCAAAAACATTATTCTCCCCAGTTCTTCTTCACATCATTTTCAGCCAGAGAAAAAAGCTACTTGGGAGTTTTCAAGATATGGCAGAATGTGCTGATTAATAAGGTAACATGTGTTATAATCTATAATTAAAGCATTAATCTGTTTATATTGAATTATTTGGGCCAACACATTAACTGGAGCAATATAGTATTAAATTGAGGATATTTGGTAGCCACTGGTGCAAGCTACTGCTCCACATCTAAATTCTAAACTCTGTAAACTATAGCTGCACAGCTGCTGTGCCTTTGCTGTTCACTTATCTATCTGGTTCAGAGTTCAGAAACATTGGTGACCACACACTGTCCTTTCTGAGGTTATCAGGAAGTTTCTGCACTTGCCTGTTAGGTAAGGGTTTACAGCAAGACACTTTTGTTGCAGATCAGAATCTTTTGTAAGTCATTATTATGATCAGAAGTGGTTTTAGTTCGGTCATTGAAGCGTGCAGACAGGCATGTCACCAGCAGGGGGCACTGTGGCTATGCAGGTCATCGACCTCCGCCAGGTGTGGGGGTGGAGCTAATTGGCCTCATTTGCATAAAGCGGCTCCACGCGCAGGCGCAGCTCACACTTACCTGTTAAAAAGCACAAAAACAAAGTGAGAGCAGCAGCTGGGCCACTGCAGTGAACTGGACTACAGCAGAGAGCAGACTTCCAATTACAGTGTCGGGGGTTGAGTTGAGGGCAACAGCTCTGACCCACGATTCTATCGCTGACTTCCTGAAAGCACTGTGGATTTAGTCTCTGACAAGTGAGTGCAGCATGTTTTAAGTCTATAGTTATTGCTTACAACAACAACAACAACACGTTTTCCGGATTTAAAATCTTAGATCTAACGTCTGGTCGTAAGGGTTTCTGCTGTTTATTTTTCATTTTGATTACAACATTAGACTTTGTGTGTAGTGTACACTTGTTGGAACGGTCCATACTGTTTTAGAGGCAGCCCTAAGGGGTTTATATTGTGTATGTAATATACTATATTGCATAAACTTAGTTTCCCAAAACTGCCTGTTTGTGGCAGTTGTAAAGTGGCCCAATCCATACGACTAAAGAGTGTTCTGTGTCCTCTGCCTGCAGTCATTGACCAGCTCAGAATTGTGGCAAATGGTTAAACAGCATTATGGGTCTGACTTGGGCATGAGCCATGAAGAAATGGAGAGTTTACAGTTATCTCCTGAATCAAGCATGCAGACCAGGTTGGTTCAGTATTGCCTTTTGTGTATTTGTTATCAGAAAACTCTGCACTACACTCATGTGATGTAGTTTCACTTCAAGGTCTGGTGGAGACGACAGCCGCTTTGAGCGCTCTCCATCTCTTCGGCTCCCTGGGATTGAACAAGGGCCCCTCGAGGCATCAACACCACAAACTGAGGACTTTCCTTCTCCTGCTGGCTCACAAACATCCAACTCTCTCAATGTGGTACGTCCAATACTGATTCAGTGTGGTGGGAAGATGCAATATACAATTATGTCAAATCGGTGACCGTCCATTTCGGTTCAGAATGACATCCGCAACAGTCCATCTCGGAGCCGCAGTCCTATGCTGGACCGTGGTGCCTCTGAACGTGTTTCCAAGCGCTCACCTCTTTCTCTCGACCTAAACGCAAATGAGAATGGTATTTCTGGGCAGAGTGGTTCTGAAAGCATAGAGGAAGGCAAGTACAAGTGTCTCTACTGATTAAAGATTTTGGAATACTAACTATATTTTCTTCATTTCCTTGTAGATGACAGATTGGGATTATCACAGGTGGCTGGCCGCCTTTATCTGAATAAGGTTTTCCACATCAGTGCCAGTAAAATGTTTGAGATGCTCTTCACAGACTCCAGCTTCATCCGCAGGTTTATGGATGTCAGGAAGATAACAAGTTTGTATTTCATTATTATTTCTACACGATTTGTAATGTCCTGTTTTCAATGGACTTCTGCATCTCCAGATCCCAGCTTTAATACTTGGCAAACGGACACATCTGGAAATAAGAAGAGGACTTTAAACTACACAATAACTATCAGTAACCCACTGATTGGAAAGTTTTCCACTGCAACAGAAAGCCAGGTGTGTTTGCGTACACTATCGTAGGTCAATAAACACAACGTTAATTAAAAATGACCTCTTATTTACCCTCATTCATCCCTCAGACTCTGCACAAAGAGTCCAGGGAGGGTCAGTATTATCTTGTGGATGCTGAAGTTTACACACATGATGTTCCATATCATGATTATTTCTACACTCACAACCGCTACTATATCATAAGGAACTCTAAGCGGAAATGTCGGCTCAGGTATACTTACCTTTTTTATTATACTTTTAATTATTTTGGGGTTTTTCAACCAATGGAAAAATATTCATGTGTGTTTTTCTATCAGGGTTTACACTGATGTCAAATATAAAAAGCAGCCTTGGGGTTTGATCAAGTCTTTTATCACAAAAAACTCTTGGAGCGGCATACAAGATAACTTCCGACAGCTTGGTAAGATCTCACAAGAGTCCTATAGATGGTTCTATTTCATCCCTGCTAGTCTTTCAGGGGTAGTGCTTAGAGCACCGACTGGCTTCTCTTCTGATCAGGATTCATAGAACGACCATTTGTTTGTACATATTGTATTTCTTTCCCTTCAGCAACAAGCCGTGTTAGGCTATGCTAAGTCTGATGTGAGCCTAATCTTCTGAAATGATGCTCTGTATTTACATAATTATGCACTGTGCCGTTTAGAGGATGTGTTCAGTGTTGTAAACAAAATGCTAAGCTCCTGATGACAGCTTTGGTTGTTAAACATAATTTACTTAAACGTCACAGAAGCTGAACTACTCGAAGAGGAAGCTGAGCTCAACCAAGTGAGTGGAGATGCTGGAAAGGGTGGACTGCGCAGGAGGAGACGGACCTACAGTCGCTCCAATTCAGAGCACATGAAGACACATGGGCGCAGTGCGGAGGCGCCCGGGGAGAGCATCACAGGTACCAGGAGGGCACATATTATTAGTATTGTTATTGTTATTGTTATGTAATGTAAACAAATTCTATTTTACATGGTGGTTCTCACAGGTCAGTTGGGGATTTTGTTGTTGTCACAGTAAGGTTTTGTCTCCAATGTTCTATAGTTATTCATAAAAAGATGGAACACTCTTCATTGTTTCAGTGAATGATTCTTGAATCCTTTTCCCATTCTAAAAATTTAACATTTCATAATTTATGGTGATTGGAGACTATTGCCATAGCTTAACACAAGTAAATAAACTATGGGACGTTGAGGAAAGGCAGATCTTTGATATAATTTTTTAAATACCCAGCCGTCAAAGCCTTCGGGCATGACGTTTTGAACACAAAGCTGTAATAAAAACAAATATATTTTAAAAAGTCCTGTAATTCCTTATTATTTTGATGTTTTTAGCTCTTCATAAACATAACTTGTTACACATTGGGTTGTTTACTTCATTCTGCGCTCATCATAGAGCTGAGTTATAAAACCTCTTAGCATGTTTAAGTCTATGAAGTCAAATGAATTAGTTAAATAATCACTGATTGTGATTGTTTACTTAGCAATTCCAATCCAAAACAAATCACATTTGTATTGTCAGATTGTGAATGCCTGCTGTTGTTGCAGACCCTATAGAAACAAGTCCTCAACAATGGAACGTCAACATGATTATTGCTGTGATGAGCGTTATGTAAGTCGCACTAGCAGCAACTTAAAATATGAATGTATATTATAACTTACTAATCATTTTGTGTTTTCAGTTTGCTGCTTTTGACATTGCTGAATCTGGGACTATTTTTTAAACTGTGGTCAATGGAAGAGGTTGCTCATCGAATATATTTAAGCACTAAGCAGAGGCTGAGGCAGAGGGCCCAGTCCAGGTGAGGATGCCACACTAGAAAAAAAATTATGGAATTGGTGAGATGAGGCCACTATGACCCATTGAAAAGGAGTTGGTCTAATGACGGTTTGTCACTGTAAATATAGCTAAGTAAAACCAGAAGACCTGCATAATTGCTCTTTTTGGTGAAATCATATCTAGAGAGATATGGATGGATTGAGGGGCTGACTGGCAGCCTTTTGTCAGTCACCCCCAGGACATCGGCTGCTACACTAGCAGCTTACCACATATGAAATCTATGGAATATTATAAATATAGTTATGTTTTGACAGCATGGAACCTGGATATGGTGCACCACAAGGACCTGTATTTCCAAACATTGAGGACCTTCACCTGCTCAAGACTGTACTTCAGGATTCAATTAACCTACTTGAACAGGCAAGATTGATTGATGAAATCAAGAGCATAGTTTGTTGATGGTGGGATGGTTTGTTATTTATGTTCCCCCACTTGTGAATGGAAAGGGAACGGCTTTGCCTCAATTGACATTTATGTTGTCTCTACAGCTCCGTAAATCGTTGCTGTTGCTGCAGCAGAGTTTTTTGCCTGAAAACGAAACGGCAACGGTACAATGAGTGGGACACGCCTGGCGACTGCAGAACACTGTTTATGAAGGGGGAAGTGCCTCTAAGGACACCTGGTATCCAATATCATTGCCATGTAACGGACCCATGACAATGCCTTGTGTTACCAGGGCGTCCATGCCTGATGCTTCTCTGTGGGGCATCAGATGTTTTTTAAAGTGTCAAAGGACTGTACAACTAGTGGTGTAGGGTTTCTGAAGGGTGCTAATGTTAAGCTCATGCTTCTTTCCTGGGTTATTGAAATTTAATTTGTAAATATATTTTTAGATTTCTAAACCTTTTTTTGAGACAAGCAAAGTGGTAAACATGATTTTTGCTGTTGTGATTGGCTTTGCACATTTTTAAATGTTTTACAATGTTTTTTATACTACTGCAGGTGGAACCTGCATAATTGTACAAATAAAAGATCACCTTATACAGTTTTTAATTAAATGAAACTCTGTTTATGTCTTGTGCTGTGAATAGCCCGGGATATTTTCAATTAAAGGACAAATTTTCTTTGCTCCACTGGTGTTGTCACATTTGGGAAATTTTGTTCGGTTTCACTTTTTCATTAAAAGTTGTGTCACCATCATAGACCGTAAATAAGTCAGCAACATGTATATACATAGTTCCCACAGACCAATGAATGTCACATGACCTCCTCGGAGACGCCATCTTTGATGGCACGCTGCTGTGTTTGTGCATTCCATTAAACAGAAGAATGAGAATAAATGTAGATATTCAAACGCAAATTGGAAAAAAAGGGCAACTTTTGAGCAAATAATTGTATATTAATACAATGGCACCACAGTTTAACGTGCTACGGACATGTTTTACATATTTGATCAAATTATGCAGCAAAAATTAACAAGCAATGCAAACATTTCTCAAAAACTTTAGATTTAATACCAGTTGGAGCTCCATTTAATTATTTTAATTATATTAACAATTAATTTAATTAATGCTAATGCCACACGGACACTCTGGATTGCTGTTATTGTTTATTTCCGCGTTTTTGACCGTATGTTTTGGTGAATGGTGGGCAACTGATTTTTCCAGGCGTAAAGAGCAGTTTATTTTATGACACAGATCTTTTTACAGAAGCAATGCGGTTTGTGAACATTGTTTTAGCCCACCATAGAACTATTATTATCTATTTAATACATTTACGTTGCCCTCGAGAGCCTCGGACGCGACACCGATCCTCCTCATAATAAAGTAATCTAAATAATGAAACTCTCAAGTTACCAGATATCAGCATACACAAGTTAGTACTGAGTAAATTACGTCTGTCAACACATTATAAGATACGATACGCACCTGACACAAAGTGCTCCGAGCATATTCTTGCGTGTTTTGAGGGAGTTTCTTGCCTGTTTATCTTCGCAAGCCATAACCTCCGTGGTTGTTCTGACAAAAGCTTAGTCTTCTCACATTCATGAAGTCTAATGATGGGTATACTGTAAAATCCAAGTTTAACGGAACCTCCGGCACGATTTGAACATCCATTGACCCAGCAGGAGATGACCATTTTCAACTTTATCACGACATTAACACGTTTCAGCTTCTTTTTCTATTGTTTTGCCCACAGCATGCCAACACAAATGGCGCCGGGTCGGCAAATCCCCGTATGTAGTGACGTCATGTAGGAACTATGTATTGGTGCGCTCAGTCAGTTCCAGAAGGTTAACTTCTGGGCGGGGATATGTGACGTCACGAGGAAGTGTTGTGGCTCTAACACTGGACGTCTCCCATGGATCTATAATTCTTAATTCTCCGTCTACAGTGGTTACGGGACAAATTTGTTCTTCGGTCTTTTCTATTAAAAAGCAGAGCAGAGTTGTTTACAGGTGGGTTGGGTTTGGTTGGACAGCCCTTTACCACAGCCGTATCGGGAGCACAAGACTTCCGATGTGAGGCGCCTCCATGGGAATAACAAGTGCTGGTTGGTATAATGTTACTTTTAAAGAATAGCTTACAAAAGACTGCGTCATTGTCAAAAAAACGAAATGTGTGTACCATTGAAACTAAGACTGATCTACATTTAAGGTTGACTACTACCTTGTACAGACTAATGTACTCATTGTGCTTCCCAAACCATGATGTATTCAGACCATAGACTGTATATATTCAGACTGATCATGACGGACTTGAGACGGATGTGTGTGAAGAGGAGAGGGCACAATGTGGTCCTTTGTGCTCGGCATGTCAAACCTTTTATTTTATTTAACATTTGAAGGCAATTGTCTCATTTGAGTTTATAAAGCTTGAGCATCTAACTTGGAATACACACAAAAAAAAAAAAACTATCATGCATGTAAAAATCCAGTTCATATCTCTCAACTATTTCTCACTAATTTTCACTTGCTTTATATTTGGATCAGTATGTTCTCTCTCAGCCAATCGGCTCTCAGAATGTATTGCCTGGCCTGCCAAACGATATGCTTTTTCAAAGACATATTCTGTTCTTCTTTTGAACAGAAAGGAGGAGTGTCTGGCAGGCCAGGCAACAGAATGTATACTATGACATTTTTTTCTATTATGATAAAGCAGCCATGTTGTACTCTGGTGTGTTCACAAAAGTTACTTAAACAAGACTGTCTTCTGGGACATGAAAAAATAATTTACAAAACAAAAAAGTGATGTACTCCAGTTTTAATCACTTGTAGTCATTGTTATGTATCATGGATTTGGATTTAATCAACAGGATGCTCGACTGCACAGTATGAAGAAAAGAACAAAGAAAGTGTCGGAAGAAGAGACTTTATGCTGCTGTGAATATGTGAACGAACAGGGAGAGCGCAGTCATGTGGCGGCCTGCTGCTGCAACTGCGAGGACCTGGATGATGTATGCGACAGGTGACTATTACAGCTGTAAATCTATGCCATTCCACATTTCCTGTCATGATATGAGATGTATGGCAGCTGCATATATGATACAAACAGCAAAGTTTATATGGGTCCACAAAGCAGTCCTAAATATTTTTGAATTATCAATATTTATTTCTTTACTGATGTGAATGATTCTTAAGTAGTGTGTGAGTGAGTGATTGGTGTAGTCATTTGCCTGGACTGTGGCTAGTGTAATTTTGCGTGTACACTATAGTCTGTAAAATTTCTTCAGAGTAAATCATCACTTTAAGCTGGGGTATCTAACTTTCAAACCACACAAAAAATTAACTATGTATTCGAATCCATTTAACTAGTTCCTTGCTCTCAGAACTGTTTGGTTCTATCACTAGTTTTCACATGCATGTATTTTTGGCCTCTTTACAGCAAGTTTTTCAAACAGAGAAGGTAGAGAAGAAAGAAAGTACCATCCTCACAGAGCTAATCAGATTTCAGCTCTAAACATCATTAGGGAATAACAAGGGTCTTTCTTACAAGTATGCAAAAAGATTACATGATTTCTAATACGATGAAGATTCTTTCTGTTGGGACATAGAAAATGTATTATTCATGAAGGGGAAAAATGTGTGGTACCCCAGTTTTAGACCATAAGTTCAGAAAAAGTAATTGGTTTTATTTTTATCCTAGGTTGTTAAAAAGAGAGGAGCAAAAAGCAGGCGCCTTCTCAAAAGTGACTGAGGTCTTGACGGACAGAATTCGTGTGCCATGGCTGTGGGGCGGAGCGAGGAAAGTTGACCTGTCCATCATCCCTCCGCTTGTTCTGCTGCCTGTAGTTCTGCACATAGCTGCTCTCCACTTCCTGCTGGGTGCACTGGTCCTCACAGCTCTGCCAGGTCTGGTGCTGTGGTACTACTACGTAACTCATCGCAAAAAAGGCAGGACACTTTTCTTCCTCAGCCTGGCGCTCTTCTCCCTGGCTTACATGTACTACCTTTTTGTCACTGTGGTCGTACGCCGTGGAGATGTTGGCACTGTTCAGCTGGGAATAATAACTCTTGGTGTTGTATCCACTCTGGCAGCACTCACACGAACTAAGAAAGGTCCCGGAGTGGTGTTTCCAAACAGAGAGACCTGTCATAGCACTGTTACTTACTACACGCCTCTGCCAGAGAAAGATCCGGCTATAAATGGCGGGAAGCATGAGGTGATGTTGATGGAGAGGACGGGAGTATCAGAAGCAACAGAAGCAGAGAAAGAAAGACATCACAAAAACTGGTGTCCCGCGTGCAGATTGATGCGTCCTCCTCGGGCTGGACACTGTCGGATCTGTGGAGTTTGTGTCCAGCGCATGGACCACCACTGTGTCTGGTTGGTCACACTCAAGATACCATCTGTTCTTACTCATTGCATAAATCAGGACCCCTGATCCAGACATGTTAATACAGTATATACATTAATCTTAGGGCAGGGGCATTCAACTCAGTCCTCAAAGGGCATAAGTATTTACTGACACAATATCTGGTAGAGATGGGTCTACTGAGCATTATAAACACAGCATTATTTGTTTAGGTTGGATCTTTTAAAAAATAGGAGCAAAAACAAAATCACTGTTTATTTTTTTGTTCAGTGTGAGGGGAAAATAGTTTAGGATCATTAGAAACAAATAATATGACTGCAATTGTTTCGGTTGTTGTCAAATTGTGATGACCAAAGTTGTTGTTTTCTTTTACTCTGTAAAACTCTGGTTTTGCTCCACAGGATTAACAGCTGTGTGGGTCAGGCCAATCATCTTAGCTTCCTTCTAACGCTCATCTTTTTCCTGCTGACCTCGTTGTATGGGATCTGCCTGGTGCTGCAGAGTGTTTGTCCAAAACAACATATTGTAACGGCTCTTTTCTACTGCCCAGGGATCTACAGTGAGTTCAGGTAAGAAAACCAGCACATCCTGTGTCGAGTGGATTTCAAAGTTGTGGCAAGTCTTAAGTGCACTTGAAACACATATTGAATAATTTCAGTAGTTTAGCTCATCAACACCTACTTATGAACTTAATGAGAAAAGTCAGATTGAACTTGTTGGATGATGTGTGTGTTCCAGCTCTGCGTTGTGCTTCACATGTGCGTGGTATAGCAGCCTTGTGACTGGAGGGCTGCTTCACCTGCTGCTGGTGCAGGTGATCAACATCAGCTATAACGTGACTGAGCGCGAGGCTCGCATCGCCTTCCGGGAGAAAACGGCTCAAACGGCCTTTTGGGGACTCGTTGTGCATACAAACGTCTACTCCAGAGGATTTTGGATGAACTGGTCTGAATTTCTGTCAATGGCAACAAAAGTGAATTTAGCCGGTCCTGCAGATGTGGTTTAGTCAAAGCCTCGAGATGCAGTACTATGTGTGTCCACTGGATGGCACCATGGTTCTTTCATTTCGTCACTTTATTGGTTTCCCACCAGAGACCTGCCAGGACTGTTATCAGACTGATTTTAATGCATTTTCGGTTTACTACAGCATGGGACCTGCCCCCTAAGTTGGCCTGACACATGGCAATAACGGTAAGATGTATCGACTGCATTTTATGTGACACAATGGGCACCTCTTTTACTGCTCTGTGACTCTGTGACCCCGAATGCTACTGCCTCATTCCACTTTTTATGTTATAGCTAAAGTCTGCATTCTTTACTGTCAGTGTCCTCATTCAACTTATAAGACCTCAGACCTCCTGGAGGCTACTGTTGTGCCTTAGAGGGGGTATTTTATGAATGAGCAGACATGACTGAGACCATTTCACATCTTAGCAAACACAACACATCACTGGCTCCATGCCCTCTTTTCACAAAACTCACTCATCAGTTCAGTCATCAAATCTGTCATGGCCATTTATTATGGAGCTCACCCACCAGGATAGAGCTAATTAGTGCTTCACTGCCTGCTGCTCCATTAATAATTAGCTTTTACTAAGATATTAAGGGCATTTTAGAAACCGTTACAAGACTCTCTAAGATAAGATATACTTTATTGATCTCACACAGGAGAAATTTACACTAGTGCTGTGTTTTCCAAACCAGGTACATGGCCCCTTGGGGGTTCTTGATACCTACATAAAAAACAAAACCCCTTAACACCAGGGAGTACTTGTGTCCTGTCTACATTTACACAGAGACAAAATAACCATCATGCCTACATTTGAAGGCATGATGGAAGTAAATCATTACAAATAAATGTCTGCTCAAGAACTAAGTCTCTGCCTTTTTGTGCCTTGCTTCTTTATTAAGAATGATTATAATGCGAATCTTTGTGGTGTGTTTCTGTCACATATTTGAATAGATTTTTTATTGAAAAGAACAAGAACAATAAAAATGTGTATATATGATTAAGTTTACATGAGTTGTGTTATGAATCAGTAAATCAATCAGACACGATAGTCATGCTTTGCGATTGCCGGGTGCAGAAATCAGGAAGAACCTCAACTACTTTGCGCCTCAACTTTTCCAGTCGCTGGTCCCTCTCCCTTTCTCTCCGCAGCAGGACAGGGAGCTGCCTCCAGGCCAGGAACCATCGCTGTAACACCCGTCTGGAGAGACAGATGGGAACAGAGTGAGCAACAAGAAACGAAATGATCAGGACCTTTAGGTTAACCAGATCTAATGAGTTTTTGACATGAAGTGACGTGGGGTTTAGCAACAATGACACGGGGAATAACCCAGTGGATGTATACCTCAAAACTGTACTGTAATACCAACCATTGGGAAGAAACCGCAGACCTCTATTTTGTCCAATTTTGTAAATAGTTGTTAAAAGGTGGACTTGAGCACCGGACTCATTAACATTATGATGAAGCATGATTTATATTCACACAGCAGGCTCACTGCAGCTGCATTTTCCATTTCAATATCGTGATCTATTTGAGTATTCAAGCTGGAGTACCGACTACTTTTTGTTTCATAAATACATTTTGTTTGTTCCAACAGAAAGTGTCCTTTTAAGTTACATGAACAACATGCTGTCCTCATCTTATCAGATCTTGTTGTCTCTTTTACAAACTGATTGGCTGAGTGAGGGTGGTCCTATTTTTTAACTTTTCTGTCTGAAAAAGCAAATCTAAAGATACAGGTGCAGTCAATGCTTTGCCACCTGCTTTCGGTTCGAATACTGAGATGAGGGAGTTCAAACAATTATCCGTCTGTGGGACAAGCCAATCATTTATTTTTAGCATGCTCTTGTTGAATAAAAAGGTGTCAATCCCAGTCATCAGGATTATGCAGGAGAGGGTACTGTTCCAAATGTCTTGGCACTGCATTGATCACTGACCTGCTATTGTGTTTCTCAGCCAGCTCCTGACGGTCCCACTCCAGCAGCCTCTCCTGACTCACAACATGTAGCAGAGCCTTCAGGACCCTCTTGAGTGTGCGCACACGGTAGAAATGCTTTGCTCTCTCCTTCTGGACCATTTGCCAATCCATTAACTAGAGGAACAAGGATACATAAATACATTATTGTTACACCATGATTTAATTAAACTGTTTAATACCCCAAAACGATTTGCAGATTAAAGCTGGGGTACCTACTTTCAAACCATAGAATAATTGATTATATCCATTATCCATCCAACAAAGCTTTGGCTCTAAAACAGTTTGGTTTATCACTAGTATTCACATGTATGAATTTCTGGCCTCGGTCACTCAGCACTCTGTCCAAAGCGTCAAACCAGGGACTGCAGATGGAAACTCGCTCTCTCACTATAATCTGGTACAGGACATATCTCTCTCTGACATTACCCTTTTAATGTTTCCTCCTGAAAGAAAGCAATGCCACTTTAATCTTTTCTAAAATGTAGGGGCAGTAATACAAATAATTGATTTTTTTATTTTATAGGCCTCTACAAAACTGTTAGAGATGCTACAATGAGGTAGATTTAAGTTCCAAGCTTCAAGTAGATATAGTGACTCAAATAGAGATCCTCCAAATGGTTGAGCAAATCATTACAGTCTGTACACTGTCCTTTCAAATAAATAAAAAAATAGTGACTCATAGGAATCTTTGAAAGTCTGCAAAATATGTTTTCTAAGATGAAGATCGTATGTTGTGGTCTGATTTTTTTTTTTTTTTTTTACAGGAATGCTGGAATGTTCACGGTGATAAAAAAGTTGATTTTGTATCCAACTAAACAAACACATTTTTTTCCCCAAGGCATGTATCCTAGAGGCTTCGAGTTTCTGGAACCGGAGGGGCAGAGGCGGCCAATGTGTGTGGGCGATACCTACTTTTTTCCAATTGCCTAAGCTTCTTTGGAGCAAAAAGTGCTGGTGTAGTTGATCAGCAGCAGCTTCTTTCTCAGACAGGGACTCCCGTGTCGCGTGATGCCAGCTGAGTGTGCACTGCCTCAGGAGGAATAGATTGCGGTGACTCTGGGCCAGCTGGCGGGAAACAAAGAAAAAGGCATTGATTCCGTCTGATAAACCCCATCCCTGCTTATACGTGCCAACGTGAAGACAATGGACTGTGTAAAAGGCAGAGGTGCTTTAAGACGAACTCGCATCTTGGAAGAATCTCGCAGTGAAACAAGATTATCTGTGTGAGATAATCGTGTGGAGGAGCAGGTGCCAGGTGAATACTAAGAGGTGCTTCTTGGACTCTCATGAGGCTGTGTGTTCATTTCTTTTTTTGTATTTCACTTCAAAGATTTGACGCACACTTGTTATGGCTCGAATTGCCTTTTCACTTTACAGAGGCGCTGTTACATTTGTAAGAACCACGTCAGGCGCTGAAAGCAAAAACGCAAAAATATCAATAATGTTTATGTTTCGAAAGGGTTATGTGTTCTCATTTGTGGCGGTGACTAAGACGGCTGGTCACAAGAGATCGACAGGAGGTGAACAGAATCCTGATTGCATCCAAAATTGTTTTACTAAAGCATTGACATATCAGAAACCATTTACATATAACCCATGGAAAAGATGCCTTTTGTGGCAAATAAATGGTTAGATTTTTTGCCTCAAAGCTGTGCCTACTCATTTTGTTAGACGGGAAACAAGCTACTTTTTAATATTCATATGACATTTAAAAGTGACATTGGCAGTTAAATATTTTGATACAAGCTTAACGCCTGGAGCGCTTCAGAATTGTTAACATTGGGTTTTTCATGCGTCACTGAAAGGCAGGGATCAGAAAGCGCCTTTTGGGTTCACAATATGTTCTGACTGAGTACTTTTGACTTGTGCTGGAGCTGTTTGGTGACAAAAGACAGCACCGGTGGATGTACCTGCATGTTGGCCTGTGCCAGCTCAACCAGGCGCTTCCATGGAGCCAATCCGCGTCGCCGTAGGAGGGTTTGATGGAAGTGTTGACGGGCCAGAGACATGAGCTCTTGTCGTCTTCTGAGCTGCTTCTGTTTCTCCTCTTCCCTCTGTACAACCCTCAAATGTCACTCACATCTTGAATCGTGTTTTGTGCGCTTGTCATTACCTCTCTTTCCAGTCTCTTCTCCTCTCTCCTCCTCTCTATCGCTCTGCGTTTCTCCTCTTCCTCTTCCAGCAGCTGCTGCTCTTTTTCTGCTTTCATTTGAGCCTGAAAAGTCATGTTTCTTTCAGCAGTGGTGACACTATGACATGTCCTGCTAATTCAAAGGCACCAGAAAGCAAATTAATATTGTATGAAAAGAGATTTATTCTGTATTTAGCTCGGATGGCTCAAACTGCCATAATAACTACTCTAAAATATTATTGTGGGATGAATTTAAAATGCAGTATCTCACCAACTTTTCATCTTCTTTCCTTCTCTTGATTTCTTCGACTTGTTTCCTCCGCTCTGCCCGCTCATGCGCTCGTGCCTCCATAGCTTCAAAAAGAGGAAGGTGAACTCCTCTGATGTTACCTTCTAGTGTTCTCTCAATAACATGCACATTCTAAGTTTGTTTGGACTCTTATATCCCCAGCAGCAATTTCAAAGTCAAGGTAAATAAACAGTAGCTATTGTTGTCAAGACGTGCTCTTCAAGGCTTTAGACGCAAGGCTTGAGGTCAATGCAATTTTCCTTCAGAGCGACACTGGGGCATGTCTGCTCCGTGTGTTTGCAAGAAGATAGCCTCCATATACCCTTTTTTACAGCATGTCATATAATACTTTCTGCTAAACTTTGAGTGGACTCACCAGCAATGATTGGATGAGAACAAGTCTGCTGAGTGACAGTTCTCTTTTGTGGGTCACAGAGAGAGCCAGGCTGTCCACTAACCTCTGGTGCCCTGAAACACATGAAAAGCTCTGTCATAACATGGACTTTAATTCACTTTTATTCAGACAAGTGTCAATTCGAAGTTACAAGTCATGAATTTAAATTACCTGCAGAACTTCTTTGTTAACTTTAATAAACAGATATGGGTTCTTATAACTTTGTATCTCTAACTGAAAATTGCATTTTTGTCTGTTTCTGTTGTAGACTTTAGTAGTGCTCTAACTCTTATAAAGTTTCAGAGGTCCACCTTTTGTCTGTTTCACATAAAATTTCTGAGTTAAATGAGGTCTGAATGAAAAGAGACTCGAGGTTGTCAGACAACACACCAGAGAATGTGTTTTTGTCAATCTTTTCAGATGATTAATATTGAGATATTAGAAATGAAATGGAGAGTCACCTTTGGCCTCTGGACTCAGGCTTGAGGCTCCTCGGCCTAGTATCCGATGCACTTGTTTTCTGTAGGAGCTGAGCTGTCTTCTGCACGTCCAGCTCTAAGCCCATCACATGTTGGTCCTTTTTCAGTTGTATGATTTGCTCTTGCTGTTCTTTGAGCAGTTTCCTCTGCTGGGAGATGATCTGTTGTTGTGTGGTGTGTCTGTGCTCAAAGCGGGCTCCAGGTGTAGTGAAGGTTTTCACACAAGATGAATCCCTGTCTTTGTGCAGTGCCCTTTGGATCTCGGCTCGAGTGGGGGCCACATGCTGACGACTTATCTGCCAAGGCTCAGTGGGCAGGGTCACAGGAGCCATGTCGGCCCCTGGGTTTTTCTTCTGAGATACTAGACGAGTATCAGAAGCTGCAGAGTGTTCACTTTGGTGGGATTCCTGCAAGGAAATAAAAACAACCTCAACACCCATGAAATCAGTCCCTCGAAAGACCAAAATGAATTCATCTTAATGATTGTTGATCGTTTACAAATGAAAAAGATATAAAACCTTCGTAACAATTTCCATAGTGTCATAGTAGCAGTGCTTTTTACTCTTTTCACACAGGTATCTGTATCACGTACCACGAGTTGTGTAAGTACCCCAATTTTAGGATGATCTAGAACTTTAAAAAAAATGTTTATAGTTCTTTATTATTATTTTCAAGATAGAAATGTTATACTTGTTCTTTGATGCTAGAGTGTTCACTTATCTTGTGCTGTGTGTTCCCCATTGCTACTGTTCTAAACCTTGTGATGTAGCACTGAAATTTCCCCACTGTGAGGCACGGTGGCACATTATGAATCTAAAGTACAGTTGTTGTTTACTTAGACACTAGAAATGAGAGAATGTCCAACAGCTATTGAGTTCCATGTGTTGTTTGTTTATTTTGACTCAAATTAAACATGAACATTCTGGGATGAACCAGTGGACCAGTTTGAACTCCAAACTCACAGATAAAATATAGTCCTAAAATTAGTAAAACATTTTATTTAGAAAGTACTCTGCCTGAAGCTTTTTTCTTTTTAAAAAGGTCCCTAAACCTAATTTCTAGAGCCATTTTCCTCAGCTGTGAAAGAAGGATTAAACCAAACATTTTCTCACGGTCACATGGGTCCTCTGTTTTTTAAATATTCTCAAAAATGTGATGAATTGTATGTGATCCAAAGGGTTCTCAAAGAGATTCATTTTCTATGTGTTTTATAGAAAGTAGTAAGGCGTTTAATGAGTAAAGTGAAAGATTGTTTAATTAGGGTAAATACATTTCCAACTGGAATTTGTTTCCTTTTCACATATAAAAATGTATGATATTCATTCTTTCCCCTCTGTGCTCCCTCTCCAGTATCTTGGTGAAACAAAGTGAAACATGACCTTGCCTTTCCATAAACTCTGACGGTCTACTTTGATGACGATACATTTTTTTAAAATAAGGTCGGCAACGATTTTCCTTTCATGAAAAGACATTATTATAGTGAGTCTTGAGTAATGTACAATGGAAATATACATGTTATTGACCTTTATCTCAGTTTAATTGCCTCAGTTGAGCAAATGGACTATTGTGCCGTAGGCCTCCTCCTTTATAGGTGTGCTCACTGCTCACTTAATCTGTTTCTGTACCATTTCCATTCTTTCGTCCCTTGAGCTGCTCTTCAACTCAAATATCACTTACTGACCTCAATTGTCATGTTCCCTAAAGAATTATTTTAAAAAAAATTGTTGCCTGGTGGCAGTATGTCAAAGGAGACCGGCTGCTTATGGCTCATGCAGCATCTGTGAAAGAAATCCTGATATTTAACTTATCTTGCACTCATCTTGATCTGGGTTATGGTTAAGTAAGTAAGTAATATTTGTTTCATTTGATGTTCTTTTCTGTATTCAAACCAGTGTGTGTCATCGTATGAATGTTCTGTATTTTATTTTTTATTTTTGTTAATTAAATGAATGCTAATGTGGATTTTAAAATATGAAGTGCTCTTCTTCTTGAGTGTTTGTGGTCATTGCTGCAGGTCTCACCTTGTGCTCAGCTTGAGTTTCCAAGGCTGGTTCTGTTGGAGGCTTCGCTGCCAGAACGGGTGGGTTTTGTGTAGCCCAGAGTTTACCACTTGTGGCTGCGCTGATTAAGGCGGTCATCTTACGGCGAGTTTCCTGCTGCTGGTTTAGAAGCTTCTGTTGTTCCTTCTCCATCTGAGCCCATACCTGCCACTCATTCAGGAAACGCTGCAGCAACCGCCTCTTGTCACTTTGCACGGCCAGAAGGTAGAGTCTAAGAGACAAGGGATTGTAATATGAGATAGGGCCTTTTAAGTTATTCACATTTTTACTCTTTCAAGCCCAAAATTTGCTGTACATAGAAAGTAGATTTTTCCATTGCTGTGTATGGTGTGGTAACTGAACGCAAACCTGGCTCCAGCTTGTTAACTAAAGAATGTTCAGTGACTTGGTTGCAATCTAGAAAGGTGTGTACTGTCACTTTAATAAACAAGTTATATTGTTATTCTTGCCTGTTCTCTGCCCGTAATGTCTCTTTGGTTCTCTCCATCTCTCGCTGCTGTTGTTTCAGTAACACATGTGCACGCCAAGCCCGCCACACTCTCAGCTTTCTCCTCCACTCACACACAGTCTTGGCCTTGCCCATGCGAATCCTTTGGTTCAGCACGACTGAAAACCAGCCAGTGAAATGCCTCTGCAGACACTAACAAGAAGTAGTGCTCTTAAATGTGAATAAATATATTATAAGAGGTGTATAGAAAATTATGTTTAAAAACCTTTACTGCCACATGGTAAGAGGCTTATTAAATTGGCAACACTCTTTCTACAGGGTGTAAATTAGTGTTCATAAATAGTGTTCATAAATAGTACCTTCATGTTGTTTATGTAGAGCAGTGTCTGAACCTGTTCTTCTACTTGTTGCAGGTGTATTTTCTGACACACTGGAGGAATTTGAGGGGCACTTTGTTCATTTTTGGCCACTGCTCTCTCTGCATTCTTTCTTTCTCTGTGAAATAAAAACTGGTTATATGATTTTGACATTTAAAATGCTGAATAATTGTTTTCCAAAGGTTAAATCAAAGGGTGTCAGATCTATATAATCAGTCAAAATATCAGAGTCATTTTCATAAAGATTTTTTCTATAATTAGAATAATATTGAAACAGGATGCAGTTGTTACAATCTAATTCCATCATCATCAAATATGATGGTATCTATATTTGTATCCCCATGTAAATAGTTATAATTATGTAATAGTTTTAAAAGAAGAGTAAAGTGCCTCATGCTTTGGTTGAAATTGCAGCTGTGACAGAAGCTGCAGCCAGTGCACAGATGCTGACATAATAGTTACACAACAACAACAACAGCCTTACAATACTCAGCATGGGCTTATGTTCCCCCCACAGCAACATTCAGAAAATAGTTGGCATTAGTCAAGGTGGGTAATCTAAGATCGCACACAGTGCAATCCCGCTGTCGGAGATGGGTGATTTTAGATTGGGTGAGTGTGTTCATTATATGCCTGCGTTCACCATGGATACCATACCTCTGTCGAGCCAGCTGTGCAATGTTCTTCCTCTCCTCCATTTGCCGTCGCAGCCCAACCATCTCCTGCTGAAGCATGTGCTCCTGTAGGCTTGCCTGGTGCCTCCTCTTCTGCTCCATCTCTCTCGCCCTTCGCCTGGCCTCTTCCTTGGCCTCCTGCAGAGACTCTCGCTCTCTCTGCTGCCTTTGTTTCTCAGCCTCTCGTCGAGCCCTGTTCTCATGCACCTTCAGCAGCAGTTACACAATGAATTGATTTACATGAGAGTAACATGTATCACATGAACTGGTACCTGCTTGTGTCGTGCTTCTATTGTAATGGCTGGGTTTCTGAACTTCTTTCTTATCTGTCCAACATCCAAAGCTAATTGTTCCCTCATTGCAGAGTTGATCACTTCTTGTTCCATTAGTTCTTGTAAAAAGAAGTTTGTGGTGCTGCTGTCCTCCTCTTTTACCAAACTGCTATACAAATCTTAGAATATATAGTAAATATTCAGAGATAATGTAAGTTAAGTCAGATGTAATTGCAATTTATTCAATAATAAGCTACCATTAAAGTTGGTGTAGTTAGGAAGACTTGGTGTACACAAATCCAAAGTAGTAGGACTGCTTTTCTCAGCAGGAAAGATTGGGTCATCTTCATCCATCTCTAGCTCCGAACGCAATTTATTGTGCAGCCAATCCCCTAAAAGTGCCTGAGCTGGGAACAAAACAGGCGCAATATCAGTTTTGAGCCTGGTGCTGCAAATCCTCAGCTATATTAGGGATAACACTTCTGGAGACATCATTGACCCACCTTCAATGTAAGCATCGTCATGATCCTTTAACTGGGCAGAGCTTTGCAGGGGCATGGCCAGGTCAGTTGAGCCTAAATGTGGTTTTTTGTGGGAAATAACCTCAGACACAGCAAACTCTGAGGCTTTTTCCACCCGCTGAAGCAGAAATATAGTCTATAAATGAATGTATGGCCTATTACTACTAAAAGAATAAAAAAGCTTACCTTTCGCCATTGATCTATATCACTATTCTTCAAATGCATCTACAAGAGAGGTGTGAAAATCAATACATATTATAACTAATACTTAACATCTATATTATCTCACAAATTAAGTACCACATGTTAGTCGAATTTAATAATCTAGTTAGCCCTACCTTTCCAGCTGATGCTTTATTTCCAAACTTCAAGTGAAACACATGTTTATTTTCCATTTCTGTATTTCATTTAATGGTCAAAAAGAGTCAATCGCACATGTCTCGCGTTAAACGTGGACATGTGCGATCCATGGAGAAACTAGAAACGCATCTGAAGCTAGCGTTAGCTCTTAGTGACTGGTATGCAGCATGCTATAACGCTAGCTAACGCTATATTGCATATAGGTCTATGCATCGACTGATACTTATCACACTGCTTGTGGCTCGCTCTGTTTGTTGTATTGTTACTATGACAACAACGTTTCTCACTAAATAGTTTTATTTTTTCAATTAATTTGGTATCTTAGTTCTAATAGCGTGTACGCAATCCTATACATTTCTATAACCTGGATACAAAAAACTTTTTTAAACAAAATTGAAAAATAATCATCGTAGTGCGTCATCACTGCGCGCCCTCCATTTGACGACATTCTACCTCGACTTGTAGTTTCTAGCAGCTGTCAGAAGGCTTCTGTGAAAATAAGGTAAAATTACACTTTTTTCATTGGATTAAACACGCATAGACAATTAGAACGTGTCTAATAAATGTATTCTACGTGTTTTCCGTTGTGTTTACTTCTTCGTGGTATCATAGTAGTTTTTAGACCATAGACGGTATACCACGTGACGCTAGTAAGACTTCACATTTGAGGAGATTATCATCATTATGAATAGTGAAGAACTAATACTATGACTTAAATGTAATTTACTTTGTGTTGTGTTTTTATTTCTGATTCTAAGGGGATACATGGCTGCAAAAAAGATGCAGTTTGAGCTGATTCGGGTGGCCCAAGGAAATTTCCGATTGGGGGTTTTGACTGGAGTAGGCAGGACTGGAAAGTATTTGCTGAACACACCGGGCTGTCTGCTGCATACACACCTCGGTACAATCCCACATCTAACCCAAGACACGCTGCACACATTGAAGCAACTTCCCTGCGTCTCTCAGGTCACCCTGTCTGCATTGTAAGTTATTAGCATGTTTCTCCAAAGATAGTCTACTTTAATAATCATTCTCAAGCACGACCATTTATTCTTCCCATATAAAGAGCAGAACACCAAGAAGTCTTGGAAGAGTTCAAAGATGGTTTCCAAAAGTTTGCAGGTTAGTAATTATGAGCACTTGCCTTACACTCAAGATTTAAAAAAATGAAAAGATGAAAAATAATTATAATTAAAATTTGCTTTTTGTTAGTGTATTCCAGTGTTTGTTAGTGTAAATCCAATACAAAGAGAAAGAAGATTAGAAAACAAAATACTCCCAGGCTGATGTTTTGCAACTGATGCATTCTCCTCCTGTGACAAATAATACATTGCCATTAAGTTTGAAATCAGCCAAGCTTGGTATCACTACTGGTGGTGACAGCAAAATATAGGCTTGTTTGTTTTTACACTTTGCAATTGGCAGTGAAAAAACAGCTGCAATAAAGATAAACTCTTCATGATTGGAGAACAGTGAAATCACACTGAATCTTACTTCCTTTGAACAACACCTGTGAACAAAACAATCAAGTTTGTGTTCCCTGTAGTGTCCTCCACACTTCACAAACTAAACTCTCCAGACCAGCTGAAGCAGCTTACTCAGCTGGCTGATCTGGTCAAGATCTCATCAAATATTGATGCACTGCTGGCTACAGTGCATCTACTGGAGGCTGTAGCGGTCAGTTGGGGTTAATAGAACAGAAAACTGAGATGCACTGCGCTCAGAACAATGCAAATCAACTCAGATTGGATCTTTGTAACATCGAACTTCTCTAATGCCTGGTAAGGATGCACACTCATATTTCAGAAAAATATTGTTTCAACATCGGTAGTTCAAACCAGAAGACATCAGCATTCTCCAAAATGCTCTTGCAAAGACCATCAAAATATTCCATAATATAAAGTATTCATACTTTTCCCATTTTGTTTTGTTACAACCACAAACATAAGATGTAGTGAAAGCAAAATCATACAAGAGTCTAATCTAAACTAAGTCAAGCCAAGTGAATGATACATTCATGTGGGCACACATACAGATACTGTGGTCAGATGAGACCGCGTATTTACTTTTTGGCCTAACTTCTGCTTGTCAACCAACTAACTCACACCATCCACTTTGTCAAACCTTGTGGCAGTTGCTTTTCTTAAGCAGGGATAGAAAAGAGCATCAGAGTTGAAGGAAAGGTGGTAGAAGCAAAATGCAGAACAATCTTGGAAGAAAAGCTGTATTTCGTCAAAATGCTTTTCTAAATCATACAAAAGAATGGTTTAAAACAAAATATATTCTGTTAGGATCAAAATCCCTCAATTAAGGTTTGGGTGGAAAATCTAGCTTATAGTGACACAACTCAAAAGAGTGGTCTTTCACAGCAAAGTCCATTAAAATATATTTATGTTGGGGCCACAATGAAACAAGTTACAAAAGTTTACAGATTATACTAATAATTCTCCCAAGCCTAAGAATCATCAAAGAGCATAAAAATGAGGGGAATATTGTCTTTCTTTTTTGTTCTAATAAACCTCAGACCCACGCATGATCTTGCATTTCTGGAGAAGAAACAAATGCACACTAGATAGTTGCCAAAACCTGTAGAAAGGAATCTACAAACTAAGTGCTGACATCACCCTCAGCGTTTGACTCATCAAACAACATTCGCCAAAAGATGAAGTCAATAAATACGATGTTTGGCTGACCTCTTGTTTTTGGGTTGTGCTTGCATCTCAAGAGGATATCCAAAACTCAACATCAAAGCCAAAACGTCTGATTCATACCCCACTATGTTGAGACATAGTGATTGAAAATGTTCTGAGATGTACATGACAGGAGTTATATTTTCATCTGAAGGTGAGATGTTTTGTATATGTGCATTTCTCTAGGCTGAAATTTCTGATATTATGTCAGAAATAAATAATGCTGTTTATCTCCTCGAGCTTGCTTAACCCTGAAGTATTTGTAATGGCCTCCAACACAAGCTTCATTCAGCTGTTCTGTACAGCAATCACTCCTGTGCTGTATTTTACCCAAGCCTTAAGCCGACTGATTTGAAATGAAAAATGTAATCACTGTAGCGTCACTTATAAACTGTGAGGGGATTACCCAGTCCCAGGGGGAAGTGAAGAGACTACACATCTGTTAAATAATTACAAGTAATAACTGCATTTATGTCATGAAGGATTTTTGTCTTTTATTTTTATTCTTGGTGCTGCAGCTGGGTTTAGTGATTACACCTCATTCTTCTCGTTTCATTTGTCACAGTAAAGACGTTTCTTCATCCATTCTGGATTCTGGTGAAATATTCAGCTCTGTCTTGTTTGTTATTGTGTTAACCCACGTCTGCATTCTGCAGGTCTTCATGATACACTTTTGTATTGCTCACTTCATGACCCAGCAGCCTCTTCTCCGACAGGATATACCACAAATAAGGTGAAATAGATTGATTTATGGCTTATTTCTCAAATCTAGTATTTGGCAGTAGTTCTTTTTGCTTTGTAGACAGTGTCGGTCTGGGGCAGTGGTGGCAGAATAGAGCTCACCGTGGCAAAATTCGTGGCGTTGCTAAAGAGCGTGCAACCAGACTGGTACCAGTGCATGGCAGACGGCGAGACCTGGCAAAGCAACACCTCCAGAAAAAGAGTTCGGAAATCTGTGGATCGAACCCTTGCCCATTTGGATGAGTGTCTTCTGGCGCACCAAACATCACCGGTAAACATGGGAGCATTGGGCACTTAACAGACGCAGCTGTTGTCCTACACAAAGACTTTATTGACTGTTGTTTTATGAATCAGCGATGCATGGCACGGTGCACCCGACAGCCATTGATGTCCAGTAATTTTGTTGTCATAGAAGCATTGCGCAGCTGTGCTATGGCTCGAAACCGAGTCAAATTAAGGAGAATCATTATCACTGGGTGAGGAAAAGGCCAACAACATGCTTGACTAATACACAAGCTGATGTCTGCTGTCTTTGGCTTGGTGGGGCCCATATTATAGACAGAGAAGGATATAAGGCATTCCATATGTCCACTAAAGACAAGATGTTTTTCACAGCTCTATAGTCACTCACATTTTATAGTCCATCTGGCTGCGCTCACAATAAATTCTTGAACAGTGCATCCCATCATCTGGATAATTGCTGAAGTGATTTTGGAAAAAGGCAATAAAACTTAATTAGTGACATAGAAATGGTGGCATGGAGCGTGGTCGTGGCTGAGCTTGCCTCCTCCTGTGCATCCTTGCCTTTTCCTTTGCCTCCTCCTGTACTATCTTGCCTCCTTCTTTGCCTCCTAACCTCCTCCTGTGCCTCTTGCCTCCTGTTCCTCTTCCTGTGCCTCCTCCCCTCTTCGCCTCCTCCTGTGCCTCCTCGTCTCCTCCTGTGTCTCCTTGCCTCCTCCTGTGCCTTCTCGCCTCCTCCTGTTGAACATGTTGAGACATCAGACAGCCGTTCATACACCTGCCCCGTCGTCCCAGATTTGTAGCACTAACTGTTAATCTAGATTATTTCATTCTTTTTTAGGGATGGTATAATTCATTTGATCCATTTATAGACTTCACTATATTATTTAGCGTCAATGTGTATCTTTAACTCTTCGGACTGTTTTCTTTTGAATATGTTGTGATTGACAGGAGCTTAAAGAAACGGAGGTGTTTGGAGTGGTAGAGGGAGGAGACATCCGGGAGGAGAGGGTGCGTTCTGCCAGAGAGACAGCGAAGAGGCCAATGTCAGGCTTTTGTTTGGATGGTCTGCAGACGGGCTCCATGGACCAGGCTCTGAGGACTGAGCTCATCACTGCTGTGAACGCAGAACTGCCTGAGGACAAACCCAGGTCAGCTGCACTCTCAACCAATGGCACACAATGTCTTTGTTAAAAGAGCAGAGCGCAGAGGAAAAATAAGTTGTTTATATTTTTGCAATATTCATGATGGTGGCCAGGGGAGATGTTACACCTTGTATTTGCCCAGCAGGTGAAAATCTGCGGGAGAATCTCAAACATTTATAAGCAATGATTACATGGGCTTAAGAACCCTAATTAATTAATAATGTTGCATAATAGACTTTATAATATATCGAAGCAAAGTTTGGCCATGAATAGCAATTAGAATTGTCAATACTTGTTTGCCAATATCTTTTATTTCATGCTCATTTTTTATCAATTTTGCTTAACATGGTGGTGTTATAGTAACTATGTTATTTTTGAATAAACCTTTTATAAGCTAGGATATCTGGAAATTGTATTTATGTGATAAGAGAGACTGTGCACATGTCAAACCACTGCTCGATCAGTTAAGATTAAGATTAAGAGATCTTTTATTCATCCCACAGTGGGGAAATTTCAGTGTTTCATCACAAGTTATAGAACAGTAGGAAAGAGGATCACACGGCACAACACATATGACACACCTTCTTTATTGGCACATCCTTTAAAAAAGATTAAAATAGGGCAATTTGATAAAAAAAAAAAAAAACTCTATAAACTAATATTCTAATTAATTTGTTAACGTTAATAAAGGCTTAACTCTTTGTCACAGTGCTGTTAAAGTTAAATTGAATTTCTATTTTTATCCCTTTGAAGCCACCTGCAAATATTCAGAGACTTGCTGGAGCCCAGGCGGTGAATTGTGCTCAATCAATTAATTATCGCCCCTGATTGATTACAAATGAAAACATGGCTGCACTGCTCTGTATGTCCGCTTTTATTAGCGAAGGCTGATCCTGGATCCTCGGATCTTTGGTAGTTATCCTTGTTAGTTATTTAGTTGTATTTAGTGGTATATACACAATAAACACCTTTGTTTACTATGTCATGTAATGTCATTTTCTACCCCTTTATTAGTCCATTTCTGGGCCGGGGGGGGGGTGACAATCCGAGCTGCCACCCAAGTCTTGCTTCAATGTGGGGTAAAGTGCCTTTTGAAGGTGAATCAATCAATCAATCAATCAAATTTTATTTATAAAGCGCTTTTCATACAAAAAGTGTAACACAAAGTGCTTTACAGTTTAGTTAAAAACAATCCAACATGCCCAGCCCTAAACCCTCCTCCCCACAGACCCCCCAAAACCACATTTATAATTATATATACAACCACATGCGTATACACACAGACACATATACACACACACATACACAAGTATAAAGTCATATCAGGTAAAATAGGTAAAACAATAAAAAGAAATGGGGCTGGGAGCAGATGTAACCGGCTGAAGAAGCGTCATCCAAGGAGCCATCTGCACCAGGAGCAGAGAGCCGGCTGCAGCCACAGGGAACGACACAGGACCCAGAAGAGAGAGGGGCCCCAGACCCCACCAGGCCCAGGACTCAGACCCCATAGGACCCAGAGGAGAGAGGAGGCCCCAGGAGGCCCCAAGAGCCAGACCCCCGAAGCCACAGCAGACCCCAGCTCCCAGTGCAGAGGGCTCCTCCAGAGGAAACACTGGGGACACTAAAACAATACAATTATACAATAGAAAGTAGAACAATAAAATGCAACAATAAAAAGAAAAATGGCAGCTGCCTAATATTGATAATAACAATAGTAAATGGGTAGATACAATAAATAATTAAAAATAGTAAATAATAAAAATATAATGTGTCTAAAAACATAAATAGATGTACTAAAAAGCAATAATAAATAATAAATACTAATCAAAAGCTACTCTAAAAAGGTGCGTCTTGAGCCTACTCTTAAAAATATGAACGTTCTCTGCGGCCCTGAGCTCCTCCGGCAGACTGTTCCAGAGACGGGGGCCGTAGTGCTGGAAAGATGCCTCACCGTGAGTGTGTGTCCTGACTTTGGGGATGGTTAGGAGTCTGCTGCCGGAGGAGCGCAGGAATCACAGAGAATGTTAATTTTGTAGTGCTGAATCTTTTCATAGACAATAAAAAAATCAAATAATTATTATGATGCATCTAGTCGACCAATGTAGAGATTATTTGACAAAATGTATTGAAATTATTAAGGATTTATATGAGAAAATATGCCAGATTTTACAGTACAAATGTTTTTATTTTAGCTTCATGCAAATCAATTATAGCATAACATATTTAAAATGTGGCATGAAGTAGGTGGGTCAAATGTCCAAAATGATGTGCGCTCACATGCTTGCAATACCACCCCAGGCCGATGGGGGTGGACCCGGAATAAGAATTAGCTAATGCTATTGCACGATGTATAGCATCTTCTTACCTCTCAAAAACGGCTTTACAAGATGGTCCAAAAGTCGCCTCTTGCTCCGAAGCTAGTTTCCAAATGTGTGTCAATGCTGAGGGGAGTGTATTTTTTGCACCTGTCTACTTTCGTCGCTGTGAAATCTTGAAGGCACTTGCCGGCTGACGCATGCGCATATGCGTTTTTTTCACATTTTCCAGCCCCCGCGGCCATTTTGAAACTGCCCATAGACTGCAAAAGTGGTTGCACATTATCTAGTTTCAACGGTGGAGATAGGCGTGACGACATCCGTTAATCTTTACAATCTATGGTCAGCACTCCTTTAGTTGACTAATTATAATGATAATGATAATTATTATCTCCTGCAGTGTACCACATAAAAACACTGGGGTGCTTGTCAAGTTATCATCATTGAGTGCAGTGAGGAGTAGAGGTTTATATCCACGAGTTCCCCCAGAGCTGTGGAACTAACTTGTAAATGGACTCATCCTTGGTGCCCTGAGCCACCATCCCCGCTGGTTGTTGTGGCTAATAGGAGGTGCAGCTTCCTACTGGAGAGAGCATTGCAGTCATTATCGAATCCTAAATTGGGCTTGACCTTGCCGCCTGCAGGCACAGTCAGAGGCAGCCAGTTAAGAGAGGCCCCGTTAGAGCAATGCCACACACAAGGACAAATGTCTCTGCACTTGTGTTAGTCCAACCCACTCTAAACATTTATTATTTGCTCTCAGGGGCTTTTGTAATTGGTACAGCGTCACGCACATATGTTCAGGTTATTTCATGAAAACACACAGACTCAATGTAACTTTTCATGCTTGTCGTCTCAGGCTGCTGCAGGGTGTGGGGCGGCCGGATGAGGTGCTGGCTTGTGTGGAGGCCGGCGTGGATCTGTTTGAGGGATTCTTCCCCTTCCAAGTGACTGAGCGTGGCTGTGCCTTAGACTTCGACTACAGCATCTGCCCGGACCCTGAGCGCGCAGGTACAGCCCCCCCTGCAGGTGGGATCAATTGACTTATTCACATTTACTTTTTGTAGTAATAATGATAATGGTAGAATGATTAAAAAAACACACACACATTTGGTACATTCGAAAATGTACAAGTTTAGTATTCAGTCCTATCTAGGGTTTTTGTTAATACCACCTTGATTATACTATTCCATTTATTTGAAGTTATTTTCTTCTGTATCCATTGGGGATACTAAAATAAAGTCACATAAAATGGCTTGAACCATTTCCTCGAGCATAACATCAGCCTGAAAAAACTGGAGTATAAACACCTCAAACATAAGATAATAGAACATCAAATTAAGCCTAAACAGCTGAAGGTATGAATGTTTTATTTACATTTGGTCCCATGTGACCCTTTTACCTAAAACGACCCATTACTTTTCCTGCACATTCATGACATTCAATTCATCTTATTCACAGGAGACATAATTGTTTATCGTCATACACCATTGTACACATTTCTGTGTAATTGCCATCTTGTTCCTTTCTGGTTTCATTTCCTGTATTTGTCATGGTGTTCCCAGAGCTGTGGCATTTAAATTAATTTACAAGGGCCTGTAGAAATATAAGACAAGAAATATTACTACAACTAGAAACGTATTGTGTGTGTGACTGGGCATTTTTACAGTTTTACTGCAATGTCTTGATAATACAATTACATGTAATACAAACCGCAACTAGCATGCAAACAATGCAACTTTATTTCCTGTTTCCCTAAAAGTTTCATTTGTTTACATTTTCAATCTGCTAGATACTTTTATTAAATATCTGTAGCTGGACATCTGTATCACATGAATTGCCCACACTAATTTGGGTCAGCTCTCTAGGGCTATTCTGATAACAGTATTACGATAAAATCAAACTATTTGATGCCATATAATTACAGGACACAAGACGGCAGAATGAGGAAATCATTGTGACTTCAACACTCAAGATAAAATGTCATATTAATAAGCCCCAAAATCTATTTATTGTACAATCCATTCATACATTATTGAATGATGAATGATCCATGGTAATCACATGGTGCTTGACAAACGGCTGTGGGGGAGGCGTGTGTGCGACTGCATGTTTCTCAGTATTGTTTAGACACCGGTGTTGTGGATTTTCTGACCAGGCTTTGACGATTTTCAAGTAGCAGTATACTGCAATTAAAAAAAAACGTGTTTGATCTGGAGTTTGCTACATGACAGAGGAGTGGAATTGAGCCAAAAGACCCCCAGGTTAAAGCAAACTTGCCAAAAGCAGAAAATATCTTTTTATAAATTGTATTTTTGATCAAAAGTTGTGAGCCTGAAGCAAGCTGGCAGGTCTGTGTGATCCGATTTTGAAGAGACGGTCCTCCAGTCACCTAAAGTGATATTGCATTCATTTACAACGGGGAAAAATATTTTTCCACATTGAAACGGACAAGATGCAGTCGTATTTTTGGAAACCTTCTGCTTGAATAAAGTGGGAACTTCTTGGATTATATTAAAATAGAATACATTTAATATTGCTGAATATGATTAATAAAATCATTAAACACTATGATTGAAAATATGTATACAGAAGTTAGTAATAATAATGTGTTTTAAGCACCCCAAAGAATCTAGTTAATTGAATTTAGATGTCTGTAAGGGAGACTGTCATGATAATGAAATAGGCTTTCAGATTCAGTTTCAGTTTATTTGCCATTTGCAGTAAAAACACCACATTGGAATACATTAGCAAAAGTCACCAGTGTGCACAGACAAATACAGACATAAAACAACATTAAAAGACAAAAATAAAACAATAAAACAGTAAACAAATGTCACTGTGAAATCGATCGACTAAAACAGTTTCAAAACAAGTGCAAATCATTAAAGTGCTCTGTTCACACTGATAACAGCTTGTGGATAAAAACTGTTAGCGTAACGAGATGTCCTGCATCTCAGAGAGCGATATCTTCTGCCAGAGGGAAGAAGCTGGAACATGGCTTTCCCAGGGTGGTCAGAAGAGTCATTGACAATCCTAAGAGCTTTGTTTAAAAGTCTGGATTTATAAAGAACCTCCAGAACAGGAACCTCACAGCCCACAGTCCTCTTTGCAGAGCGGAGCACCTTGTTTAAAGATCTCTTTTCTTTATCTGTGATGTTTCCAAACCACACAGACTTTCCTCTGCGTTAATCACAGCTATGCAGAGTCTTTTAATTACACTACATGACCAGACGTGAATGATTTTAGGACTTGATATAAACTCCACATTAGACTCTGCCGATTCAACAATCTCTGCATTTGTGGCAAACATGAAATAACGGACTCTCACCGCTAATGCATCAGCGATGAGTTTTATTTTGCATCATATTCTGACAGAATGCCTAGCTGTTGCCTGTTTGTTTGGGAGAGGCTGTGTATAACTAGCCCCAGGTCAGCTGAAATAATTGGACAGAGAAAAAATGCACTTGGTGAAATGAAATCAATGGTCTCTCCTAGTGATTCCACTAAAGTAACAATTAGGTGCCCCGACACTATGTGGTTGTCCCAACTGAAACGCAAAAGCAGCGTAATGACACTCTTTGTGGGAATGGACTGACAAGGGCTGTGTCAGACTGTGCTTCATTAAAAAGTTGGTGTTTAACTCGTCGGGAGAAGTGAAGTTTGGAACCAGCAGCATCTAGAGTCAGACAGCACTAATCGATTCTGCACAGAGAGCATAATGGAGTTCAGTGGAGGTGAGAGAGGACTGGTGTCAAACCTAAAGAGAAACTCCATAATTCCCCTCTCAGCCAATTAGAAGGCCCAATGGTACATGGGGGCGCAGGGAGCAACGTGTTCAGACCGCTCTGTTTTGAGGAAGAGGACTGTATGGTAATTCATGTTTCACCATCTGGTCCGTTTCCCTCCTGCTTAATTCATTGTATTCTCCCCATATACTGTACAACTAATCTACATTCGTTTTGTATTCATTTTTATGCTAAACACCTCACCTTTTGTATTCGCCCAACCAATGTCACTCACGAATAATAGATTTCCCATTTTCTTTACAAGCTTCACTTCATCTGGGTCACACTTTCCACAAAACCAATTTTTCTCCATTGTCATTTCCTCTCCATAGCGCTGTTATGTGCTCCCTTTTCCATTGTCCTCCTGTTTACGTTTCTTGCATACCCTCATTCAACTTCCCGGAGAAAGACTTGAGGATTGTTTCATTAACTTCAGTTTCATTTTTCAAGTCTTCGAAGTCAGAGTTTGTAGAGAGACTTACTGAGACATGGATCTTAACTAGCAGTATTATCTTGGCTCTTCAGAGTGAACAGTGGTGGTTAATCTTAGCATCAGATTAGGATTATTTTCCATCAGTTTCCATCCTTTGGGACTAATATAGATGCTGTGTTTGTAAATGCTCTCAGTGCTGGAGCAGGATGGAGTGGAGAAACCAGCGGTGGAGAGGCAAACTGATGCAGACGTTAATTCTGGCGATCAAATTCAGATGACGCCATTTGAGATCAATCTAAAGGATAAGAGGTTTGTTGCGCCCCACAGGGCTTTGCGTTCATCTTTCATGTAACATGAAACATGTGATATCCGTATTCAGGTCTTCATACATCCTCCTTGCATCACGTCCTCTGTGCTGCAGGTTTCATGACGACTTTGGGCCACTGGTGGAGGGGTGTGGCTGTTACTGCTGCCGGAACCACCAGAGGGCATACATTCACCACCTGCTCGTGACCAATGAACTTCTGGCCAGCGTTCTGCTCATGATCCACAACACGGCCCACTACCAGGGGTTTTTCAGGGCTTTGAGAGACGCACTGGCCAATGACAAGCTGGATATATTGAAACGCAAGATCCTTGGGGACTAAGTCGCAAAAGAATGAAGTAGCACAACAGCAAAATCAGGATACACGAGGTGCCCTTTATCAATGTGATCAAAAGACCGCACACTGTGTCAAGTCACAGACCACAAACACAAATCAACTCATTTTTAAGATGATGGCGGAGAAGGCTGGGTAGACTCCGCTATAAAGGAGACAAGATCTGACAAGCACAGTGCCTCGATGTCTGGACTTTGACTTTTTGTCCTGGTTTAACACCAAATGAGGCTTGCTATTGATCTGAGGAGATAGCCAGGAGATGAAGTCAGGGATTGACGTATGAGGAGGTCGTGATACATTTGCATAGAGTGTGAGGATGGATGGTGGTGGACTATCGACTCTCCCTGTCTACCTGCTCTTTCTGACCGGATCTTAGGTCATTACATGACTAATGTACTTTGGACCCACTGACGGCATGGTGTGACAGGATTTTTCTGAAATAAGAACAAAAGAGACGGCCGTTTCTTGTGGTAAACGATAAAACTCAAACCAAATTCTATGATTCTTCTAGAATTATTCATGAAGTGCTTTCTAAACTTTTGCATTCAATCATCTAAGCTCCCCCACATCGTTTTAGATGAATGGTTTGCCACAGGAGGCCTTTGTGTTCTGCATTAAACATTGCTGCTTGGATGATGCTCCCGTCATGCAGATGTGGCTTATGTTGTCTCGCGGGTTTTGGGGAGGTTAACTGAAGGTTCGTTCTGACAGCTCGACCGCTCCGACAGCCGAGAGAGGATAAAGATGAGATAAAGATATGGGTCCCTACTGCCGCCTGTGCGGAGCTGAAGGAAAGCCTTTTGAAGGTGAGGGGGATGTAATCGACTGCTAGACCGTGCAGATGTCTGATGGGGACCGGTCAGGGAAGGAGAGACTTGTTTAGCTACAATTATGTTTTTTGTCACGTTTTGATGTGAACTTATCCATATTTACTCGACATTATAAAGAAGGCGGACGCTGGCTTTTCTGTCATCATATGGCAGGAGAGTGTGGGTCATAAATGCTTGATGAAATGTAGGTCTATAATGGGTTATATCTATGAAAAGGAGGAACTTTTTTTCCTGTTGGGAGAGTGGTGCTGAACTCTGGCCTATTTATTTTGAGGTTTAATGGGATGGCAGTAGGAGGGCCTTATGTTCAGAAGGTTGAAATGTCAGTCCCCCAGATTATCTAGTAAAAATAGAAAAGTTAGAGTGCCCTGGTTTCTGCATCCTGCATTCTTGGTAGAAATATTGTTGACATTCTGTTGAAATAATCAGTCTGTAAACTCAGCGAGACAGTCTACAATAGCATTTGTTCAAAGTTTTAAATTGCTATGAATCTTCATAAGTCACATTTTATGCTAATACTGTGTGAGTCAGTACAACAGTCTGCAGATGGTACATTCCATGGAAAGAAGAATGCACTTGATCGTATGGATATATAAAGGTCAAAGCAAACATATCTATTGTTACGTGGCAGATGCTGCGGGAAATGTCTGTTTTATTGCTGAGTATAATGATCTGAACGCTGTGCAAACTCTGAGCGTAATGTTGTTTCATGTGTAAACAATAAACATGTGTTCTGTTAAGACGTCGCCCAGGCTCCCTAGTATCTTTTGTCATTTTTGTTGCTGCTTTCTAAACTCATTTGTATGACTTCCTTGTCATTGGGGATTTGTGTGAGTGAAAGAAGTCTAGAAGGCTGCCTTTTATTTCATTTTTTTATCAGCTCTTGACCTCAAACTGTAACAAAGTGAAATGGGAAGTGATTTCATAATAGTGTGACATTACCCAGTGTGATGGTAGGTTCAAGTTTGAGCTCAAAACTTTCTTTTTGTTTCACGAATTCATGTCGTCTTGTTTAAGTATTTCAATTAGACGAAAACTTATACTGAGACCTGATAGGCTGAATGAGGACTGGTGATCTTTTTGTTTGAAAAAGCTGGTTAATTTATGTAATTATTTATTGACATTTATTTAACCAGGAAAGTCCCACTGAGATTTCATAACCTCAGGGGAGTCCTGGTCCTGGCACAGGCCAGAACTCGCCTGAAAGAGATCAAGAATCTTTATAGGACTTTCCTGGTCAAATTAAGGTTAGTAAATAGATTAAAACGCAAACCCTTCCACCATGTTGCAGTTTTAAGTTAGGTACCGCAGCTTTAATATTGGCTGTTGATTGCAGTGATTGGTATAAACTTTTCTCTTAAATCTCACTCTTAAGCAGCCATAAACTGAATCTGCATTTTTCTCATGGAAACTTCTTCTGGGTCACTTTTCTTCTCTGGGGTCATACCTTTTTTCAGGCGTGCTGCTGAGTCATGAATACGCCGTAGACAGTCCATAGGTTTCATAGAGTAATATAAATGAACGCGCTAAACTCCCCCCAGCAAAGGCTGCAGTGCTTGTATAAGTCTGACGGGAATCATATCTTTCCTTTGCAAGAATCTTAATGACTATGTGAAAAGTTTACTGATTTCCCCAAGCATATCATGTGCATTTAGGCTCTTTCATAGAAGTGTAGGAGTTGCATAAGGTTCATTCAAATATATTCTCTTAATTTGCATTTATTTTAGACATATTTCACATACATTGACTTTCGTCAATTATAATTATCAAAATGTTTTGTTCATACATTTTCTGAACAAATGGGACCACAATTTTGACTGTTTTTATCTTATCTTTTACAGTAAAGTTTATCTTATCCTAATGAGAGCTGATTGGCAGAGGGTGAGGGTTGGTACTTACTGCCAAACTTACGTGAAAACTCGTGCTTGAACCAAGAGAGCGATGAACTAATTTGATGGGTTTCATGGAATAGTTCCAGTTTTTGAGGCTTTGAAATTGGTACCCCAGCGATATTGGAAGATATTGGCTCTATATGATATAAAGTAGGCATGTATGGTTTCCATTAGTGTCATGTATTTTACATATCAATATCTCTCTCAAAAACAGCAGCAGCTTTGATTGAGTTGAAGCTGAGTTAATACATTCCACCCAGAGAGTTTGCAGCCACTTTGGCCAAGCTTGACTGACACAGTTATTCAACTTCTCATTTTTGTGCATGTCCTTGAGTGCTGCTTTCACTGACACTGGGCACAATTTCCATTGTAAAGGATGTCTGAATGACAGTCAGCAGGTGGCCCTCATAGCTCGTTTCCACCAATTATACAGACTGAGAGAGCTATTCATTCTGCTGGGCTCGGGTTTCTCTTCTGGCCGCTCTTCATGGACAAGTTTGTGTGTGCCCTGCATTTATCTTACACTTCACAAGGCGGCCGGGATTGTTATCTACTGTTGTGGCATCATAACATGGAAAAGAATGATTTTTCTGTTCTCCCACAAAAACAGTGCAGTTCATAAAGGGATGCAGTGTGAAGAGAAGAGTGATGATGGCCACTGGGAAGTTTTATCAGTGAGGCATTGTGTTGTCAGACGCCTCCTTCTTCGTCTACAGCGCTGGCTGCAGTGGAGCGACTCAGATTTGTCATTGTGGAGATGTGTTGTAAACTCCAGTCACTGATTGGACAATGTACTCCGCATTCCCCTCAGTTTGAACACTGTTAGAAGTTACAACAGTGGTTATTGTTGCTGTAAATCAAACTTTAAAAAAAGAGTTTAGTTAACCAGACTTGTCCATGGGTGGTTTTGACTGGATTCAGGCAGTTCTGAGCTCTGACAAAGCTGAAGTTGGCTGAATTACTAAATTACCTTCTCACCACCTACATCAGTGCCATCAATGGAACTTTGTGACACAATCAACAACAATATCAGTAAATGCAAAAAGAGGCTCTGAGATTTACAACAAAGTGCAGTGTGTCTGTATTGGCTGAGCTGGAGTTGGCTGGATGACACTGCACTTGTTTCTATGATCTCAAATACGACTTTGGGTTAGGAAATGACTCACAAGGCCGCAATTAGCCCACTGGCCTTAGATCGGACATCCATCCATCCATCCATTTTCTACCCTTTAATCCATTTCTGGGTCAGGGGGGTGGCAGTCAGAGATGCCACCCAAGTCTCATAGCACCAGCCCCTAGATCGGACATGTCTGCTGTAAATTATCATCTGTCTTTCATCGACTGATTGGTTCTTTTTTTGGGTTTACAGTCTACTCATCATTACTGTGGATTTACACCCCTTTTCATAGATGGGCCAGAGGATGGTATTTACCTCTCCTCACCTTTGTGGCTGTGGGAGAGTCCAGAACGATATTTCTCCATTTTATATTGTCCTTGGACTTCTGGCTGCAGTCAGTTATGGATCTTCCTGTCCACCTCTTCTTGTTTTCACTCCCTCTCCTGCATAGCCTCCCCCTGCTTCTAGGGCCACAGATCTTAGGATGTGTGTGGAGGTGTTTTGAGCTCTGTTGATATGGACAAAGTATTGTTTTCTTTGTTTCATTGTGGTTAGCAGCGTCCTATTTGTCACCAACTCCTCCAGCGCGGTGCAGTGTTCTGTTCAACTGACCCTCCGGAGACTTGCATCCTCTGAGTGTCCTTAAGTGCAGTGTCTCTTTGCAGTCGTACTTTATCAGGGGCCATACCAAAGCCTTCAAGTCCCGCAGACATCCTAGGTAGAGCCCTGTCCTTCCAGATATGAGGGCTGTTTGTGCTGCTCCTAAGCTCGCTCTAACCTCATGACTGCTTCCACCTGTCCCGTTGATAATGGCACCCAGGTATCTGAAGATCAGCAGAAGATATTTAGCTCTACAGGTCCTTTCGTTGTTGTTCTCTTTGTGCTAATCTCCACACTACTCCATTGACACGGGGTTTTAAGATCTAGTAGTTCTTAGTCTTTCTAGTGAAATGATAATCAGGACGATGTCATCTGCAAACTGTAGGTTGTTTTTGATCCTCCCATTGATGCTGACATCAAACCACGAGAGAACGCATTTTCACTGCCTCAGAAGTTGAAGGAGTTTGGGGAGCCCAGACCTCCCTCCCGTACACCTATGTAACTTCAGATGGCGTTACAGTAAACATATTAAATTGCCACAATATCAAT